AAAAGGGGTCAAATGGGTCGTGACCCCTTTTTCGAGGCGTCAGAAGGAGACTCTAGGTACATGGTTTGCTGTTGAAAGACGTGTTTGTTTGTTTGCGCTGGGGGGTTTGGCATGGCGCGTAACTGACACCAAGCCTGACTGCAAGTGCTCGGGTCCTTCACGTTGCAGTTGTTCTTTGTCAGCCTTGCTCAATCATGGGCCTTGGTTTACAGGGTGGCAGTGGTTCTCTTTCACTGCCCAGGTCCATCTCAATCTGCGAAGGGGGGGGGATTAGGCAATAAGTCGATGACAGAAGACCATTGGCCAAGTCCAGCATGGTGAAAAGTGCCTGCGAGGTGTGTGCCCCAATTGTGTAGGGGCACCTTGTTTTGCTGGTTTGGTAGATGCCCGCCTTGTCCGCTTGAGTCCTTTGTGGAGGACCTCATGGAAGCTTCCCCTGCAAATAAGCATGGAATCCCCAAATCGAGAGGGGGGGCAAAAGGAGATTCGCCTAGGTGTTGTGCTTTAGGTTCCAGCTGAATCTGCCAGGGGGGTGGGGGAAAAGGGGGGGGCGGTCCAATGGCCCACATCATTCCAAGGTCTTCACCACGGACGCAGACTCCATGGCGCAGACGCCGAACTGGCTGGAGGCGAAGCAGAACACGCCGCGGCCCCGGATCCGAAGTGCTCGGAAGCTTTAAAAGAAATACACATTTTGCATTACCATTGCTTTTTCCACACCAACATGAAGAAACGGACACCATTTACAAGTTGCAAGGTTCGATGTGTGTTTTTCCATGGCATCCGGATCCCCGCTAAAGCCCTCGGTTCATCAACCCACGGATTCGAAAAAGATCAATCCGGGGCCATACCAAAAGCTGGGGGAAGAAGCCCGAGCCAGGCTCAAGAAGGCCAGCGAGTCACAAACGATTTTGAGGCGGGTGCGACAACTGCCGTTTCTTTGGGGTTTTGGGCTCGCCGTGTCTATAGACTACAGGTTAAGAAACGAAAGCACCAACTTATTCTAACCTCCAGAGGAGGACCTAGGAAGGTATTCACGTTGTAGAACTTGTTTGTTTCAACATATTCCCCAACAAAAGAAGGGTTTGTGAGTAGGTTGTCCCCTTTGTGAGGCCTCAGAATCCTTTATCCCGTGTTGCCTCCGGAACAGTCAAGACAAGCAACCCCGTTTCTGATCTTGTGTCTGTCTTTGGGATTGTGGTGGATCCTTACTTGGAACCCCCAACAGGTCTTTTGCTAACATGAGTGCCGTCGTGGAAGCACGCCTTGAAAAGGGGTCCAAAAGACCCATCTGCCAGCATCACCACAAGGGGATTTGGACAGATAACGTTGACCCTGATTTAACGCAACCTTGCCTGTTCTATGCGGGGCTTTGAGAAAATATCATCCAACCAAATTTGGGTGCCCTGCTGACAAGGGTGTGTGTGCGCGTGTGATTTTTTGCTGAAGCTGAATAGGGTCCAGCATATTTTGCACTGAAGGGGCAAGCTCTGAACATTCCATGGTTGTTGAAATCCTCCTGCCATGGACCAGTTAGCTCAGGGCACTGCGCGGTTCTTTCCAGGCGAACTACCACAGAGCCTGATCTGCAGCGCGCTCTTTTCTTGCAGTTTGCGAACTACAGCAGTGCCTGAACTTACCCAGATTGAGTTTGGCCTTGCGGCAATGAGGCTTGGCTCTCCTAGCCGATAAGGTGAGGATGTTATTGGGGCGCCTTGGGGGGGGGGGATTGCGGGTCTCCGCTGGACCATAAAAGCGAAATAGTCACCAACAAAAACCGAATACTACCCGCACTAGCCATTCTTCCAGGAAGTTTTTGCACTTGATTTTGTTGTGTTTTGAAGGTACGCTTTTCGGATTGGTTGCAAGGGGGACCAAAAAGGACAACTCCACATACCCAGCAAGCAACTTCGTTGCCCAGGTGCGACGTCTGCGGGCTCTGCTGCAAGGAGGTGCGACTCAGCTGAATTCGGCGGGGTGACGCACGTGCGTTCATGTTTTCCAGCGCAAGTCGACCTTGTGACCTTTGAGTTGTTCAAGTTTAGTCCATATTAAGTCAGGGCCCCAAAGGGTTCACCTTGTATTTCCTGGTTCGGCAAGTTAGCTTGTTCGTGCGTCCTGAGTTTCGCTCGTTGGTTTTGGTTGGGCCAAGTTGCCCAGGTGAGCGTTTGAGGGGAGTGGTTGAAGAGACTGGGGTCAGGAACCCATGCTGGAGTATTGCATTTGCCTTTTCCTTGAGTATTGCTGGCAATCCAAAATGGGCTTAGCTGGAATTGTTCAAAGTGTCCCAGGATAGCCTGCTGCCTCTCAAAAGCATAGCGCGAAAAAAAAGAGCCTGAGTTGGAAAGTCTGGTGGAATATCATCATCGCCGTCGCGCAGTGAAATGCCGTGCAGATGTTTCAGCCAATTCGCAAAATCATTTGGGGGCCAACATGCCGGCTTGAACAGTTGACTTGCTGACAAGGAAAGCAGGCAAGAGCTGGCAATTCCGATGTGGTTCAGCCTTGTAACCAACCGCGTTTGCGTGGCGAACATCTCGCCGCTGATTGTGCATGCGCAGGCTGGAGCGCCTGAACGTGATTGTCAGGCTGAGTTGAACGCTTGAAAAGGTTCTCTCTGTTGTTCAATTGTTGCGGCAATGGCAAATCATATCGATGCACCCAAATAAATGCCCACACATCACCCCTCAAGCAATTTCCCGACAGCACACGCGCTCTACACCAGCGAGCCTTCCAGCAACACTCACAACAATAGGCAAGCCCTCCCTGGAGTGATTCTGCAAGGAAACTTCCAAGCAAGACCTGCTTCAGAAGGTCAATCGTGAGCATGCAGAGGAGGTCGGCCCGTGACTGGCCTGCTTTCAATGTGGGGCGTCTCCTAAAGGTAGGGTACTCCCTGCTGGTGTACCTAGGTTTCCCTTTGGCGCCACCACGGGTTGCCCAGCGGCAACCTGTTCCTTTTGCTCTTGTGCGGAGCCCTTTAGGTGAAACCTTCAGAAACGAGCGTTTCTCTATTGCCACTGGGCATGGCCGCAGCGCGCGGCAGTAAAGAACACTGGTGTTGAGTCCTTTGGCCGCCCTGCCTTTTCCAAGTGCCAGTGACCAGCTTTCCACGCGTGAGCCAGCCTGGAGCATGACATTTTCTGCCTGCCTGAGGCTGTACGAGTTCAGGTGCTACCTTCGCGCAGAGCACCTGGCTCCTGGTACAGCACCTTCAGAGCGCCGCCTGGAACCCTTCGTCAGCTACATGAGCCAGGCCTGAGGGGTCAGCTGGGCGCCAAACGGCGCGGATTTGACACCTGAAAATGCAAACCTAGACTCTCCAGGACCCTTAAGAAATGGGGTCATTGCCCAAAATTAATGGGTCATGACTCAGGACCCTCTTTTTCTAGGTGGTCATGGAGACTCTAGGAAGAAGCAGGACAAGGGTTTTCTCATGTGCCGCGAGTTGGCTCGTTGTATCCTTTTGCGAATTGCGCCCGTGCTAGACTCTAAGGACTCTATTTGTTGAGCCGAAAACCATATCATGAGGTAGCCTGTGTTGGCCCCAAGCCAGCCTTCACGCGCCAGCATTGAAGGCAGCTTGCACTTGAAGCATTCTTGGCCCGGTTGATCAGAAAAGAAAGCTTGGTATTCGGATGGGTGCTAATCAGAGGAGCTCCTTTTCAGCGGATGACTTAAGCACTGGAACCGGGAGTGCCGGAAGCTAAGAAAAATGTGCGCCCTTGTTATCCCACAGGCGGCCCCATCGTTGTCCGTACTCATGCGTTTCATCTTCATGACTTGTTTCGATTTTACTGTTGAAAGGGCGGCAGCGCCCGGGTTGATATTTGAGCTTGCAATTTGTCCAACGTGTTTGGCCAATGCCTTCAAGAATCCATTGCGACTGGCTTGAGTGACTCCAAATAGTTCTTCGGTTTCTGGAATCCAAGAATGGCCTTGCAACCTCCCCACCAACCGCCGCCCATCCCCTTTTCGCCCTGCCAGAAGTGCGGGAGCTCTCTGCTGGGGGTTCGGCGCCCTGTCTGCGGAGGACTTTGTGCTTGGCCACCCCTTCCTCTTTTTTGGCGACCTGATGTGTAGGTCGTCTACTCGGAGTCCCTTTTTGGAGGTGACCCCAGTGACCCCTGCAATTTCCGCTCAGGCTCCTGAAGGTGTTGGGAAACCTGAGGTGGCCGGTGTAGGTCTTAAGTTTCCGGACGTTGTAGTTCGAATTGTTTTCTTTTTGTTTCTATTTTTTTCTCGGGCAAGCACAAAGAGTTCAGGTTCAGCTACCTACCAATCCTCATTGCCCTTTTGAGTATCCACCCGCTTCCCTTTTCACAACTTAAGGGTTGGGCCAAGTTTAGAGGGCTGGTGGGGTGCACCTGTCATTCTTCTATATACCAATCTTCCCTGGTAGGATTCCAAAGAATACATATCGTCACGCGTTTGTTTTCTCTCCGCAATGGCATCGAGCCTGTTCAACCCCTCAAACTTAACTAAACTGTGGATGTTCCGGTAAAGGCCCCGCGTCAGCGGAAAGCACAATAGCATTGTCCAAACAGTGGTAACAGATGGGTCGTCAAAAAAGGGATTTGGAATCTGGCAGATAAGGCGTACTGTTCCTTTCTTTAAGCTTATGGGCGATTGGCTGGACCTTCCGGGTGGCAGCTGTTGAGACTTCCCGCTGCAGACCCAGACAAAATCCTCCTCTCGATAGTGGTTGTGGCTCGAGGTCGCTGTGCAAGTTGAATGGAATTGATGGACTGGGCATGTTTTAGACCAAAGTCCCTCGCTGAGAAGGGGGTGGCAGTTGGGCTCACTCCCCGCGATCCTAGACGTTATACTTTGCAGGAGTGGTAAATATGTATTTTTTTTACTGCATCTGGTTGTAGTGGTGTCCCACTTCGGATTACGGAATATAAAAATCGGGAGCCTCTCCCATTTTCTGGGCGCAGTCAAAAAAAAGGCTACCAAGAAGGAATTCCCCTTACTTTCGAATTGGAATGACAGACAACATGCACCCGCTGCTTCGTGGACCCCGTGGATTTTTTCTCGAGTCGTCGCACTGCCGAGGACGCATCTCGCCAAGGTGAGGGAGTGGGCCACGAAGGAACTGCTCCACACCGCCAACCCGCAGGAGATGGAGATCCTTCTGCAGCCGGCCGGCCAAGCTTATGGCGTTGTTTTTTTCCCGGAGGGAGGGCCAATTTTTTTGGGGTGGCTTTACTTGGAAACCAAGACGTATGTTGTTTGCTTTGCTTACCTTACGTCCCAGTCGCGGAGGCTAGAAAGTTCCCCTCTCGATGGTCTAAAACGTCACTTCTCGGCCCAACGGGGGAGGTTCCTGTGGGTTGGGTGTATCCACACGGACCTTTTTGGCAGCTGTCTCAAGTACGAGGGGCTTTCAGGCAACCATTGCCCCCAAGGACAGATGCTGTGGCATCAAAGCGAGCCCTTCGGGTTGCTGTTTGGGGTGGGAACCTTAAAGACTGCAAAGCGCGTAAGACGAGTTCGCTTCGAGGGTGCGAAGGTGCACCAGTATATATATAGATATATATATATATATGTATATATATATATTTCCCCCACCCAGCTAAGCAAAGGTTCGGTCTCGGGCAATCCTGTGATCATACAGTGAAGTACTTGAATTCAAGCTGAAGTCACGCAACACGCAGGCCCATCTTGCTTCTTGTCGATGAAGTGTTTTGTTGTTGTTGTTCCTGCCAAGGTGCGGTCGAGAATTGTGTTGTTTGTCGTGTTTGCGTCGGGTCGCTAGTTTGTTTGTTCAGCCTCGTTGGGTGGCAGGAAGGCACAGCATCATCGCACTTGCCGGTTTGAAGCAAATCCCGAGTCGTGAAAAGGACTGTAGCTCTTAGCCGCATTTTAACAATCGCTTTTGCTGAATGGTTGCCACTCATGCCAATTGGTTGGAACTTGTCCACGCATTTCCTTCTGGGTTTGCTCCCCAGAACTTGTTCTTTTCCATTTGCTCAAATGAAGATGACTTTATTTTCCCCTGTAGTTGGTTTCAACGGGAAACTAGCACTACTGGAATTAATTATGTTTTGTTCCAGGGGGCTCCAGGATTCATCGTATTTCCCACGTGTGATGCTACGGGCCCCCACTGTGTGTGTGTGAAACCCTGCTGATGGTAATGCAGAGGTTTGACCAGCGCCCTTTCGAACCTGCCGTTTCTGATGATTCTGATGCCGCAAGTTTTATAACTTTCTGCGGGCAATCAACAACCAACCTGCCTCGGAGGCAGAAGGGCGCACGTGGACTTGAGAAAGGAGACCCTGAAACTCGATGCGTCCAGAAGGCGGTTCCTAGCCGCGGTCCTAGCCATCCACAACCCCTTTGACCTTGGTGGCTGCCCGGAAAGGGGGAGCTCACGAATTAATTAACCTATAGGCAATGTGTTCTCTTTATATCCAACAACTGCCTCCTTTATAAACAGAGCCCAACCCGACTTGAGATTTGTTCCGACCCCATTGCAAATATGTTTGGAACCTTCATAATGTGAACCAAAACAGAAGGACGAGCAAGTGAGGGTCAACTGGCATGGGTTCAGCAAGGTACTAAAGTTCTGAAATGGCTGCAGGTCAAAAATATGTACCCCAAATGGAACCCTGGTAAGTGGAATATATAAACCAAAACCTGGTCCCCTGGAAGTTAAATTTTGACCCATACCCAAACCTAGAATCTCCATTAACCCTAGAAAAAGGGGTCATGACCCCCTAAACCATTTTTTGAGGGTCATGAAATGTCTAGGAATAGCATTTTTTCAAACTAACAAAGCCACCAGAAAAGCTTATAACTGTACTTTGTCATTTTTCACTTCTAATTGTTATACCCAAGTGGGTATGGGTCAAAATTAAACCACCAGGAAACCACTGGTTTTAGTCATTGCTTCCATTTACCAGGGTGCCATTTGGGGTACCTATTTTTGACCCACAGCCAAAGAGCAAACTCCAACTCGAGCTTCGGCGTCTCTGAGGGAGAAGGTCCGCTGCCTCGCCCCCGCGGATCAGCGAGCGCTGGTGCGGCAGCTCCTGCACTTGGGGGGCCTGGACGAAGGCGGGTTCCAGCGGCTCCAAAAATATCCCCACCCCCTCAAAATTGGAATTGGGGGAGGGGGGCTGACCCCTAAAATTCAATTTGTGGTTCGGGAAGACTAGATCAACATGGAATTGGGGACCCTTCGCCTTAAGGTAGGGGGGATCAAAAAATCCCCCCCAAGTCCAGCTGATTCAGACGCTTCCCAGGTAAAGCAGGCGGCTTTTGGACATGTATCCCTCCAGCCACCCTGGGGAGGAATGAACGGCGCTTGCCTGTCGAGTTCGCATGCCTACCTGTCTACTGTTGGGTGTTTAATGCCAACCCTAGTTGGAAAGCTCACTAGTTGCCAGGGTTTGACCCACTGTCTCAGTCAACTCTGGTCGGACAGGCGGGGTTCGCCTTCGGAAGTCCCATCGATGTCATTCTGCGGAAAGTTGCGAATGTGCTTCAAAGTCCAACCCCTTCACATCCAAACTTTGAAACTTGCAAATGGGAGCCTCGGGAAGCCTACTTTCGAAGGTGCTCAAATATTGTGATTCGCAAATAGTACGAATTCCTTCAAAGGGACATGTGGAACCCCGAGTTGTTGCAAGTGCTGATCCTGGCAAGAACCACCACCCCTCCCAATCCCATTCCTCTTTTATTGGGTCCTTTTCGTGGGTGCTCCGTTTGGTGCGTTCCCTGCGTTCCTTTTAACGGAAGGCGCGACACTTGCGACCTGCGTGCGAGGCACCAAGCACCCGGAGCTGCAACTGGCTGAGAGCCACCTGGGACCACTCAGCGCCAAGGCGGAGGAGAAGATGAGTCGGCGGTGGGGGGCCGACAGGGGGGGACCCCTCGTAATCTAGGTGCCCCAGCTAGGTGCCCTTTCTCACCTTTTTTTGGTTGGGAGGGTACCCTTATTCGAACCTCTCTACTGGAGGACCTAGTAATACTGTGGATGGATGCGAAGTCCATTTCGCATCCCGCACAACCTAACAAACCCTGAAAGGATTCGATTTCCCTGTAAATGCCAACAAACAATGGTTCTCCATGGTTTCAACGTGGTGCAGAATTCCGTCCATCCACAGTGGGGTGTGTGTGCCAAAAACCACCCCCCTTATGAGTAAACTGGCTGGTTGATTCATATGGGAAGGGTGTCCCACTCAAGAGAGAACCCACTTGGTGAACCATCTCCCTAATGCTTGGGGAACCGGGGTGTGGAGCATTTTGTCTGCAATTCCCATGGTTGCCCGAAATTGGTAGTTAGTGAGCCAGGATTCTTTCCTGGCTGGGCATTGGAATTAACATCAAAGCAGCTCAGCCAACGTTGTCAAGGGCTTGACCTTGAGCCACTTCTGCCTCAACCACTCAGGGGCTTCAGCTAATACAGCGAGAAAGGCTTGCGGGGTGCGCATGCATGCGCGCCCCACGGGCAGTGTCAGTGCGGGGTACTTCTGTAGGTTGTGCGAATATTTTGTTACTTTGGCATGGCATACTCAGTTGTCGCAAAGCATTTCGGCCTGACTTTCTACAGCGGTAAATTGCAACTCACTCAGTTTGCATTGCTTTGTGTTTGCATATCCTTTGGCATGTTCTTTGGTGTTGCACTTGTGGATTGATATCTTGTGGTTGCAGCCATGCGCTTGGTAACTCATGCTTGGATGGTTTCACAGGGAAACCAAAAGGACACCACCCATTCAGCGTCCCTTATGTGCTCAGCCGCCGTGCAACGCGTAGTGCACACACTGTATTTGTCCATTTGCTTAAGAAGACGTTTTATGTTTCCTTGTTGGCTTTAAAGGGAACCTATCACTACTGGACATGTGTTTGTTGTTTTCCCAGGGGGGCTTTAGCAATTGGAAGTATTGCACCCTACTTGTGTGTGATGGGCTTTAGGACCCTTTCCTGAACTCCCCTTCAACTTTCATTCGGCTTTGTTTGTTAAGATGCATCTAGTTGCCGGGTCCTATATTGTTTGCTTGTTTCAGCCATCCCCTCAACAACTCAAACAGCGGGTCTAGATGTCAAAGAAAGCGTTTCATGCCAAAGGGGTCCCACTGGGTCTTCAACAAGAAGTCTGGGAAGCACAAGCTTCTCACGAGGTTGCCTCCGTTTCCCTTTAAGGAACCTATGGAAACCACCAGCAAGTTGCAACCTTTGAAGGGGAAATCCAGAAATCCAGTGACCCCTGTATTCATCGCCTTGCGGTTTCTTAATAACAAGCCACTGGCTATGCAGCTCCAAGTGGTGTAGCGGTACTTTCCCAAACACTCACAGCAAAGAGCTTGCATGCCCACCGGGGTGCCACCCAATTCTGCGACAATTCTTGCACGTGTTATCTCTCACCTGCAAATCGTGAGATCAAATTTCTTTTAAAAGGACATTATTCCCGGCTCCAATGACTATGGGTAACGTTTTCCATTTAGTGTCAAACACATGTCTAGTGGTTTTTTCACCAATGGTCATCCCGTGTTCATCGGACCTTTTGATCCACCCCCACATACTCACAGGACCGTTGCCTTAGGTGCGGATTGCCGGGGCACCAGACCCCAATGGATTCCCCCAGCCTTTTTGTCGTTCACGTTCCTGGCCATATTTGGGGTTGGACATGCCCTCCTCAGCGTCCCAAAGGACAACGGCTGGGGAAAGGCAATTCATCACGGTGATTGGTTGGTTTGCCGGATGTGTTTCACTGCATCACTTTGAACCTGTGACCTTTTGGGAGTACATTTAACATTCATTGATTTTTGCACTCCCCAGCACAACGTTCAACTTTTGGGACATGCAACAGCAACCCAGTTTGGGGAAACCACAGTGCCCCATTTTCGGATCCCTTGGCCTGTGTTTCTAGTCAGTTCTGAATTTGGACGCTTTACGCCAGAATGGGCCTAAGTGTAACTTTGGCTGTAGAGTCTAAAGGGGAAACCATCAATCCAAACCGCCTTTCCACCAACAACCAAACCACCAATCCGAGGGATGATGAACAGACACTTTCCATTAGATCCACAAGTGAACAACGGCTTGCAGAGGGGTCGCAACCAAGAAAGGGGCCCATGGTCCTTTCAGCGTCTTCGCGGGTTTTTTTCTCGTCAGGATCCCTTTCGTGCGCTGGCGCATTCGCTGCATCTCACTGCGCGGCAACTGGCGGCGCCGGGCCCCCGGAGGTCAACGGGACAGGCACCAGGTGTCGCGCTGCCTGTTATGATCATAGGTGTCCTTTTTGGTTGATTTGCTTAACAATAGAGGGCCCTGGATTCGATGGGGCGTATTCAGGCGTATTCCATTTACCAGGGCCTTTTTTTTTCAAAAGGCCACCTATGGTTATGATACGTTTTAGCCAGCAAACACAAATTACCAGGCGATTGAGAGGATGCGATTGCAAAGCAGGTGGTGTTTAGCTACATCCTCGAAAGAAACTTGTTGGGCTGTTCAACATGAATCACCAATTGAATCACAATTCCAGCTTGCAAGTGGGGCATGGTTTGGCGGCACGGGACGCCATAGAGATTATTGGGCAGCCCTGATGGTCAGCATGAATGGACTGAAGCCTGTTGGTGAGTGTTCCTGGGTGGGCTGTACCGGCACTGGGTTGGTAGATGTTTGTTGGTTCCATGCATTGGGCTTTTACAAAGCCGCACAAATCAACAGCACAACAAAGAGCTTTGACCCATGCTCCCTATGGGAAGTCCAACAGTGTGTTCAAATCAAAGGCGTGTGACTGAAATGGGTTGTTTGCGTCTTGGGTTTGAATTGCATGGTATCGTTGTGTCCTGCCGCCTTGCCCCCTTTTGTTCTTCAGGGTCGCGCATGAAAGCACGAGCCACCAGCTCGTGAGGCTAACGGCGTTGGATCTGCGACGGCACCACGGCGGAAAATGAGAAGACGGCTGATGGGTGACCGTTCTGGGTCCCAAAAGTGTTGCATGCTGAGGGCTTCTCAAAATTACCTTTGCACTCATTCGGGGGGAGGGTGGTGTTCCCTTTGAACCACTCACCAGTTAATTTGTTGATGTTACAGCAATGTCAGTTGTTCAGTGGGTGCGATTGAGATCAACTCGTTTGATAGACTTTGCGAAGAAAGACTCCACGTCTCGAAGTCTTTGAACCCTAAACCCTAAACCCTAAACCCGAAACCTGCTGTTTTTGCTTATTGGGTGAGTCCCCGATGGTCAACGCTACCAGCTTTTGTTTTTCGGGTGGCCTACTGATTCGAAGCCCGCGGCTCGGCTTTGAAGCAAGCCACGGGCGAAGGTGGGCAGGAACATGTGTGAACACCAGCCACTAACACCAGTTGTTCGGAGAAAGAAAAGATAAACTAAAATCAAAAACACTGGATTCAGCCACTAAAACCAAGTTTTCGGAAAAACAGCAAAAGCTGAAAAGAACCTGGTAAAGGGTGGTTTCCTGTTGGGGGTCCTTTTGCAAGCCAGAGCGGGCCCTGAAAAAAGACACCCACCTTTAGCCTAAGGTTCCCATCTCCCTTCGGTGTTGCTCTAGAACGTTGGTATTGGGTCCTTTGCCTCCACTTTGCAATGGACTTTCCTACACTTCGAGAGGAACACCCCTGGCTTGGTCCCACCAACGTAGCCCCTGTTTTCTGCGTATTTCGGGCTACTGGTGACTTGGGTACAGGGTTGCTAAGCTATCAAACTCCCACCATTCTAGAAAGCGTTGTTGATTCGGAGGTGGGGGGTTCCATTGTTTCTTCCCCCTGTATTCTTTTGGTTGGACTGACTTGGTACCCTGCCAGCAGCGGGTTCTACTTTGAACAATGGGTCTATATGGCTTTCGCGTTGGGTGTGATACGGAGTGCCCGAAAACTCTGTAGTTTATCGCGGTTTATGGCTGGTTTAAATTGGAGGATGTCAGCCTGTACGGTTTTTTTGGGGTATCATCCCACAAGCAGCAACCGTCATCCCTTCACAGCGTGGCAGAAGATTGATATCCGCTTGACTTGCTCGCTCCTATAGTTGTCAAGAGCCGCCAGTCCCAATAGGCACGAATAGCGACTACAACGCCCTTCGGAGCTACTAGGGTTCCTTTGGGACCGTTTTTAGACAACCATGGTGCCTTTCCATGGCGTCAGACCTGCACACCCTCAAGGCGAATCAGCCTGTTGTCGGTCCAGTTTTGGCCTACCTCAGTCAATGCAACCCAAATTGTTAATGTTTGATCTTATGATATTTCCGGGCTGCTCAGTGTTCGTAATTGTGGTTTCCAGCAGAGGTGGGCAACATTCAATTTTGCTTCAACAACCAGACTTTGTGCTTTCAAAGCGATGAAAGATCATGTCCATGTTTTTCATTGTTGGCATCTTGGGTCAGGCGGTCGGCCCCAAGCTCTCCTCCCCAAATTGTGAGGTGCAAGCTGCTGCCGAAGTCTGGCCAGCTACTGGAGCGGTGCATGCAATGCCTCCCGGACTGTTGGCAGTTTTGCGGCCCAATGCTTGGACAAATGGGGGGGGGGGGGTTAGGGTACCCCTTTTGTTTGGGATCGGGAAACCCATGCAAAACCAAAATGAACCCGAAGTCCATTTCCCTTGTTTTGGCACACACCCGAATAGGTTGTGACATGTTTTGTATGCCAACCAACCCCTCTTATCCCACTGATACCCTTGGACATACCCGGGTTGAGCATCCAAGTGGCTATCATCGCTGTTTTCAGGTACTAGTATGTTTTTGATAGTGTGGAGGCCTTCGCGGATATAAGCGTGTAAGGGCGTTCCTCCAACATCCATACTTACACATGCCCTTAATAAGTTGTTTTCTTGCCGCGTTTACACTTGAACAAGGTGCTGCTCTTCAATCCTTCACCCAGACCATCCCCGTTCCTTCATAGTCCTAAACGATCCAGCGGCTGTGGTGAATGATCCTCTTCCATCCTTCACCCCGATCATCCCTGTTTCTTCCTTCCCCTCCCCGGTCATCCCCGTCCCTTCTTGGCCCTGAATGATCCAGTGGCTCTGGTGAATGATCCTCTTCAATCCTGCACCCTGATCATCCCCATTCCTTCTTAGCCCTTGCCGATCCAAAGGCTAAGGTGATCCTCTTGAATGCTTCGCCGCGATCATCCCCGTGTTCAATAGCTCTTGTAGCAGACAAATTGTTGCCAGGCTTTTGCTTTGCATTTGTGGCATGCGGCGTTCAATCTTAGGACTTGCTTGTTTCAGCTCTACCCGAAGTTGTTGACTTTTGCTTGGTGGCTTGGTCGGGTTCATGTACCGTCAGGTGAAAGTAGGTGGTGCATGTTTTCTCAGTTTTGGCTCGGTGATCCCCTGCGCATTGCCAACGGTAGGAACTTGCCCACCTACTTTCACCTTGGTGCATTGCGAAGCATTTTGGAATTTAGGGCCACTCCCAAAATGGATTTCGAGTTCCTTGTTGGTTTTCGTTTTTCTGAGCGACCACAGAGACCCTTCTCACAGCTGGTGTCCATCTTTCCTGTGCCAAACGCCGGTCCTAAAAAGGGGTTGTTGCCTTTTATTGTTCCCTTTCAGCCAACCAGAAGTATGGCGTTGAACCCCATCATCCCCTTCAAACCCAACGTCATGTTTTCCCTGTAAATCACTCCATGCCTGCGGCAAATGGGCCATTTTGCACCACCCAAGAAACCATGGGGAACCAGTGTTTGGTATTTTCTTCGGGGAATCGACTCATTCCCAGGGATTCTGAACGGGATTTCGCGACCATCCACTGGATTTTGCCACCATGCAGGAACCTTGGAAATGGTAGGTCCCCCGTGTCCATTTCCCTTTGTCCCTTGCCCAGAGGGTTCAAGTACCTTCTAGTTGTGGGTTTTACGGGGAATTCCATCCCCACGGACATATTTTTCGCCCATTTCTCCCCGGACGACGCAGACGCTGGCTCAATCCAAGGCCTGGAGCAGCAGCAGCCGCTGCCCCCGGAGAGCGGCACCTGGCCGGAGGCGGACTTCGGTCGCTGGGGCTCGGCTCGGCTTCGCGATTTGTTTTCTGGTCTCCGCCCTTGTTTTTTAAAGGGGTGGGGGGGAAACCCCCCCTTTGAGAATCCGTCTTGTGTTGCGTCTGCGCATTCTTTTTGGGAGGGGGGACACCCCTCGGGGAAAAAAAAGAAAAACAGAAGCGAGAAGTGACTCTAGGAGGACCAGAAAGGAACTTCTTCGGGGCAATCCTCCCGAATCAAACATAGGACCCGTCAGAGGGTCCTTGAATGAAAGATAGAAAAACAGGCTTACAGGACCCCCCCGGGCAGGCTCTATGTTAGCTCGCTTGGTCCTTGGCCCACTCCAAACAGTTTGATCGACAGTAGTCACCATCTTGCAGAAGTTCAAGCATCTTACGAAGGGTTAAGAGGCTGAAGGTCAACACAAAGAGCAACTGACTATTTGATAAGCAAACACAGGAATGGACTGATGGCATATCAGTCATTCACCATATCACATCACGGCACATGGAAGCTCATCAACCTCATGAGGTGTCTTTTTTGAGGGTACCCCAAGAAAGGTGGTTTGCCATTGGCTCCCCTTGAACACCAACCAAGAAAGGGGTACCCTAAAAGGACACAGACCCAAAGTCGGTATGACATGTCAGCTCTTTGAGAAACAAGACATGCCAGGCTTCGGGCCGAACGATGGCCAAAAGGATGGTACCAAAGTATCAGCCCTAACTTCCAGCTGCCGATTTGCCACTCAGCCTGCAGAAGATTCGAACAAGGCCCTTTCAGGGTTCATTCCATTGCGGGAAACCCAGAAACTCACTTCCTGAGTTCATGAACTTTTAACTTTTTGGGAATACCATCTTGGTGGTTAATATAAAGCTTGGACTTTTTTGGGGCCATCCACTCAGGAAGTGAGGACAACGAAAGAAGAAACGGGGCGAAGCCACTGAGGGACTGATCCGGGTACAGTTTTTCGAGTTTCTTGCGGACAACACGCCGAGAAAACGACTCAAAGGGTGCACTCAACAACTTGCACCGAATGTTAACCCGACACATCCCCTGGAAAACATGGGGTGAAAGGTAGCGAAGAATTGTGCATCCATTTTCGCGGTCCCGGCTGAATCGACTCTAGGATTATTTCATGGGCTTCGCCTTCACGCTTGGAGGGGCCCACCCCTCAAAAAACAATAAAGGCGTATGGAGGTGCCTTTTAAGCTTTGGTTGAGGGGAGCCCTGATCCTTCAGAAACAAAAACAAACTGAAATTGGCCTGTTTTGGACGACGAACAAGTGAGCCGGGTTAGCCATTGTGCCACAAAACAACGAGCAGGAGGTGTCCATGCACCAGGCAGCAATTTTTCTGAGTTTGGATGTGTCATTTTTGCAGGGACTCCCTTCCCAGTGCTTTTCTCGTTTGGTTTCCCTTTAATTACAACACCAAAAAGAGGAAGGTTCCTCCCCAACAATTCGACCGCCTTTTTGGAACAAGAGGGTAGTGGAAACAATTTTGGGTGTGTCTTTTTTGTAGGGGACCCCCCCTCTTTTTGGTTCGTTTTCCCACGTTCGGTTTCATTCAGGTTCAGGAAGTCCTGGAGGCCGTGGTGCGGGCGGTGCCCCTGCATGTGGAGCTGCATGAGCTGAGCAACCTAGGACCGGGCGGTCCTATTTGGGGGGGGTCCCTGTCCCTGTACAGACCCATTGGGGAGGGGGGTTCCCCTTTGGGGAGTGTCGATTTTTTGATGGTACCCACTTTTTGCCTGGTTTTCATAGGAGACCAGAGGGACGTCAACCCTTCTTTTCTTTTTTTGGGGGGGGGTTACCTATTTTTGAGACAGACCCGTTGGGGGTGGGGTTCTCAAAACAGAGGTCCCTAAAAATGGCTGGTTTTCCTTTCTGCTGCCCTGCCAGCCCAAATTCCATAGGATCCACCTCTTTGGCTTTGAGACCTTTACATGGGTGTGGCTCAAAATTTAAGAGCTAGAGTTTCGCAGGGTTTGGTCTTTGTTTCCATTTACCTACCCAGACGCTCCTGGGGCTTTCAATGGAAGACCCGACCCATTTTGGGTACATCTTTTTCTCAGTTGTTCAGTGGCACCCTTGTTCCCTGTTCTTTGTGGCGGCCCCGCTACAAATGGTCTTCCCAAAAAAGGGTTCCCTTTTTTTCCAGGGTCACTGAACAACTGAGTTTTGAGCCACAGGCACATTTGGCCTCGGGGCAGTTTTAATTCAGCTGAAAGCTGTGTCTTTGCCCCTGTCAGCTCCGCAGGCTGGAAGGGTTCTTTGGACAGGGTCCCGGGGCTGCTGTTGGGATGCCACCAGGGTTCCTTTGTTTTAATTGGTTTTACTAGGTCCCCCAGCTAGGTGCCAACTTTTATTTGGGGGAGGGTTCCCCTACTAAAATAGAGTACAGAAAAAAGTTGGTGCCAACTTATTCTAACCTCTCTACTGGAGGACCTAGTTTATTTGTTTGTTTTATGTTCTGCCGTTTGCCCCTTCCCAACACCAAGTACCTACAGCCTTGGGCTGCCTTGTTTTCCCATGGTCACCGGAGGTCTGGGCATTTGAGCGTTCATTTGGAGCATCGCTGCCCTGCAACTCCTGCAAACAAGCTTCTAGAGTGAGAGTTGGTTGTCATTCCTTTGTTTCTGCTTTGGGTATGCTTTGGGGTTAATTCATTTGGCACCCTTCCCACAAACATAGCACCCGCGGGAGTACCTGGGTGTTCTTCGTGTAAGGTGGGTTGCGGCCACGACGGCCATGGCCTTCAAAGAGAGCCGCACTCCACTTTTCTGCGTCTTTGGAATGATTTTCACCAGAGCCCTCGTTTTGTTTGTCTTTGGAAGTATGTATATGTATATATACATGTATATAATATGTACATGGTGTGTTACAGGTGTATATTATACATATATATATACACATCTGGATATATATATATATATATATACATGCTTTTTTTTCCAGACCCCCCCCTATTTTGCACCCAAAGAAGCCCCTTCGTTTGATGCCGCCTCAAGATTTGGCACCCCAGTTCAGGTCAGCGAGTTCGACCCCGTGCTCGCCAGCTCTGCGCAGGAGAGCCCCGGGTCTTCTCGCCCAAGGTGTCGCAGAACCGCAAGGCGAAGCGCGTGGAGGACATGAGGGTGAAGCTGATGTACTTGCCCGCCAGCAAGTCGTGCCTGGGAATTAAATTTGCCCTTTTCCATTCCGCCAGGACTTGTTTTTACTTGTTTTTCTCTAAAGTTTCAGTTATGAAGAGTTTGATTGTGCCTGGAATTCAATTGGCCAATTGCAAGTGGCGCCTGGGAATTAAATTGGCCGATTTTCTAGGCGAAGACACAGGCATTCCGCCAGTTGTTTTTCTTTCATTTCATTTTTTATCGAAAGGGAATCGCTGGTGCATTGTACTTGGATGTTAGGACTTTGACTTGTTGCCAACTAATGGGTTTGCATTAAACCACCAATTAAACTTGTAGCCGGGGAGCAGAAAGCAACGGAGGAATCAAGCGGCCCTTTGCTAGGCGAAGACATGGGCATTCCGCCAGGATGTTTTGCGAAAGTAGGAGTTATGAAGAGTTCGATTTGTGTGCTGAACGTGGGATTTTTCATTTGTCCGAGAGGTTGAGACGTTGCAAAGTACCTGAGTCGGACACTGAACACAAAAACGGGCGTGCCACTGCAGTCACCCAGTTCTGGAAACTATTCTTCCAAAATCGATGGAAGTGCAAAGGAAGCAGAATGAAAGCAGTCCGAAGGTCTTCTGCGCATTTCAGGATGCGTTGGTGTGAGGGAAATTTCAACCAGGAAGCCTGAAGGGATGGTTTTGTTGAGCATTTTGCCAGGCCCTGTCTTGACCACCCGGTCTATTTGCTGGTGCTCAGTACGGGATCCATTATGTTTTCGGAATGGAACCCCTTTTTGGTCAAAAGGAAGCCACCAGGGATGTTTTTGTTGTTGGGGTCATTGCATGGCAGTTCAGATTGGTGTGACCTTAGCCCTTTCACCTTTAGAACAAATGGCTTCTCCATGAAACCTATATACAAAGGCTAGAGACTCTACACTCGCTGCTGGGGGGCAAGAGCAAAGATCCCCCAATCTTCCACTTGCTTAAGAGCAACATGAACTTCCCTTGTTGGTTTTAAAGGGCATCTATGTCTACTGGATTTGTTTTTTTCCCTCCCCGCGGGCTTAAGCAGATGGAAGCAATTCGTTGAGCACAACACGTTTGCGGCCAAAGCACGAGCAAAGCTTCTCAAGCGCCATTCGTCGCTTGAGGCTTCACGCCGCAGCCCAGAAGACTGCGCCGCAGGAGCGACGCATCGCCCAAAATGCAAATTTGCACACCGTCCGCTCTGTGCAACCAGCTTGGTGAATACCCTCCTTCTGCTTTTTACTTGGTCGCACTGTTTATAAATTTTTGTGGTCCAACCCAAAGACGGAAATTCCGCCCAACCAGCAAATATACATATTTTGGTGGTGCAACCATCAAACATAGATAATTTATCCCTTTTGCTTGTTTCTTTTCTGGGGGGCGTACCTGGCATGCTACAGGCAACAGGCGCAAGGAAGCGTTGGGCCACCTTGCGCTTAACTTGACTGCACGGCTGGCCGGGGCCAAAATTGCAAGATCTTCCCGATCCTTGGTGTGTAAACATTACTTGTTCTTTGCATTCAACACAAACAAAACGCGAGAGTCGACATTAAGTGTTGTCCAAAACATGGACCCGTTTTGGGACCTGGTGCCGCCTTGTGCCGCCTTTTAGAGGGGATACCAAGCAGGACCCCGACTTTTGACAAACCTTCACTTGGGTAAAAAGGGAACGGCTTCCGGGGGTTGACTTGCAAACCCGAAAAGATCCTGATACTCTCTCCTTGAGTGGATGGGCCAGAAAAAGTCCCTGCCCCTGCACTTTTTGCTTACCATGGTCTTTCCAAAAAAAAAAAACTAAAGTCCGAAACGGAACTCCAGGAGAAAGGATAAACAAGGAACCTCGTTTGGGCAAGGCGCATGCTGTCGTTTGTGAACCTCAGTGTGTGCTTGTTTGATGTCACGCTGTATCTTGGGTTCATACCCAAAGACGCATCAGGGGTTATCATCCCGTGGGTGCGGTGGACCTCAAGTTATGCATCACATGCGCGTAGTACGAGCCAAGCGGTTCACCACTCGGATTGGTCGGCAGATTTGGGACATGGACCTGAACGGCGGGGGTTCTATGGAAGCAACCTGGCGTCCCACGGCCGGGCAGTTGGTGAAACGGTTTGGCAGCAATCTCGGACATTGATTTGTAAGGAGAGCCATTGCAGCCTAGTCGTTTTACTCCTCATCCAGCCTTAGCCCTTCTGAGGGAGCCCCAAAAGCACAAGGCAGCGGTCCGCAGCCAAGGCCCTAAGGGTCGGTATGCTTTTCTTATGAAGTGGGCCGTAGGACAAGAGCGCAGCGCAGCTGAAGAAGGTGCAGCACTCGGAACTTCGGGCCGGTTGGCCACCCTGGAAGCCCTTTCTTGGCAGGTTTCGCTTGGGGCAACGTTTCTTATGTCTTTGCCATGTGAAAGGACGATAAGAATAATATGTAACCCCTCTGTTTTTTCTTCTTATGTCTTTGCCCTTTGAAAGGATGATAAGAGTAATATCATGGTAACTCCTAGGTTTCGGCGCGAACATAACCAAGTGGCAAGCCTTCCAACCATTCAACTTAGTGGTTGGGGCTTCAGTTCTCTGGCTGCAAAAGGGCTTCAGGTGGCCCGCCGCTTGCAACACAGCCGGCTTGCCTCACAGGTTCCCATGTTGCTGGGTTTTGTCCGCAATTCCTTGGCCATAGCTTGGAGTGGACGAAATCCTGCATGCACCAATTGAAACCAGGGTTGAAACTATAACCTTTGTTGGTTTGCACAGGCGAATCATCAGAAACAAGGCTTTCTTAGGTGGTGCGAAATGGATTTCGTCCATCCACAGTAGCTTGCCCGGATTCCTCCAAATCAAGCTCAGAGAGAGGATCGGCTCCCTGACAATCGGCTCCTTTGGCATTTTTGGAGTTGACCCTTTTAAGCCAGTTCCTGAATGCCGAGCAGGTGATCACGCTTGTAGCCTGGGCCCCCACCTAACATCAAGGGCCTCACTGGATGCGAGAAAAAAAGAGGGCCCGTTGGGCTTCACGTGTGGATGGACGGAATCCATTTCGCACCTAAGAAACCCTGGAATGATGGTTCCTCTCTAAATGCAAATCAACTTTGATTTCAAAGTGGTGCAGGATTTTTTTTAAACAATATCAGTGCATGGGAGGGTAGTGAGCTATACATTACTATTTCAAGTTCAATCGACCACCTCTCATTTGCTGAGTTCCTGGACGAAACACGTTTTGGGAAGACCATTTTAGTGGTAGATAAACAGTTTGGACTTGTTTGTGCAAAGGTGTTGATTGCAAGTAAACATTGAAGCCAACATGGAAAACAAAATTGGGGGTCACACAGGGGTCCTTCTCCGAGAACAGATTGCTTAGCTTCCAGATTCCAGCTGGGCTTCTTTTTTCGAGGTGAACTCCATGATCCAATGGAATCGATTTGCCGGTGTTTGCGTTCAGGCTGTGCAGAGCAAGCTGGATGCCATCCCCGAGCGCTGGCTTTTGGGCCAAGGCCGGATTCAAGTTCCGCTTTGCGCGCGGCTTTTCAGTTTGGGTTTGAAGGGAACAGAAGAGGACAGCGAGGCCCACTTTGGGAGATCTGGTGTCGTTTTTTTGTTGTGAGACTTTGGGAGATCTGGTGTCGATTTTTGTTGCGAGACGACAATCGACGTTTGATTTGGATCTCAGCGATTTTGAGGATAAAATGAGCGAAAGCCACGATGTAGGTCCTTTGGCCCTAGAATGTCCACGTGCATGAGTATGGAATATCTTGTTTGAATAGGGGGCATGCAATTTTGGGCAACCCAGCAACAGGTTGGAAGCTGAATACCTTGAATACCCAACTCATTGTGCTAGGCTTGATCCTCCGGTGTTTTTCTGGGAAACCGTCCAGATTCCCCGTTGGTGGCTTAGCAATGCTGGCGACCTTGCCTTTCTTCCTCGTCGAGCCGAGGATGTTGGCATTGAGCCTGCGATTATAGCCACTCGTGAATGACTAATCATCCAGGGGGTGAATTTCAGACAAGGCTTTTGTTGCTTTGACCCATGTTTGCTCATTCCGTGCAAACACGTGGCAGCAGCTCTGAAATTAAAAGTCCCGGGCAATCTAAGTTCTCGCTCACCCCATGCACATGAATATCATGGCGATGGCCTGGAATGCGCCTGGTGGCTGGTTGATGGTCCTGATGGCATTATTGTGAAGGACCCTGATCCACGCCTTGCTGTTCAAAGCCCAGGTTGAAAATGGCCACTAGGGGCTAGCCTTTCACATCCATGCCCCTTTGCGCAGCGGAGTGTTGTATGAATGAATGCAAGGCCTTGTCAATGCCATCTCACGAGGATTTGAGCACGATGGTTGCGATGTGATCATGCCTGCCAGGAAGAATATTCACGCCGTGCCACCCGCCTTTCAGGAGTCTTCAAAAGTTATTGTTCCCAAACAGCTTTTCAAGCTAAGGGGTCGATAGGCCCAGATGAGGTTTGGGGGCTTCGGGGAGCTCTGGAGTCAGGCTCGAGCAAGGTTGCGAAGGTTGGGTGGTCCGGCGCAGGCCAGGTGCAAGGTTCAAGGCAGGTTCCATGAGTTTCGGGCTGCTGAAGGCCAGGTTTCGGGGGTTTCGGAAAGGATAAGGTGTAAGGTTCGAGGAAGGGAAGGCGGTTCTGGGTGTGAATTTGCAGTAAACAGCGCATGTCAGATGTGCGCCATTCGCATCATGTGGCCTTTTCGCGTCAAAGGGCGCCCAGAGCCATAGACTTTCATTTGCAGAGGAAAACCAGGTGCAGCGCGCCATGGATGGAGACACTTCGCATCGAGCGGCACATGCCGAAGTAAGTTGGCAGCGGAGCAGTGACCGCGAGCCTGACAGGTTCTTTGTGGGTTCCGAGCCAGAGCAGCAGGACTTCCACTGGGACCAGTTTGAGATCGGTTCTGATGAAGGCACAGCCTGCCAGAACCCCAGCTGGAAAGAGGTTCGCGGCCCGATCCAGTTTGGAGCCCAATACGCGGAAGGAGGTGCGCCAGGTGTTTGAGTGACCGCATCATGATGTATGGGCAGGTGGCGACGTGCATGGACTGCGACAGCGACCAGATCTATGACACCGCCACAGCCATCCGGCAAGATGTCGCCGAAGGCGTGTGGATGTACCTTCCTAGGCCCACCGCCGCGCCTGCCGGATCAGACCATGGTGCTGGACTTCCACCCGGACCTCCACTTCAGGAACCACGAGGCGGCCGGTCTGGCCCCAATTCCGCAGCGCCACCACGGACCGCACCGGGACCACCGCCAGGCTTGCCAGCCGGCCGTTCCGAAGGCGGAGAGAGCGAGCAGCGGACCGATGATCCGACCGTGGATCCTGATGAGTTTCACCTACAAGGTCGCCGTGCACGCCGAAGGCGCCGACGACCAGCTGACGAACCCCAGCAAGTTCCCCCCGGCCCTGATCAAGGACCCCCAGGAGCTCCCCAAGGGCAACCTTCTGGCAAAGGCCTTCCGAAGGGTCAATCCGTTGGAAGAGGACCGCAACAGGCTGCTGAAAACTTGGGCGAGAACATTTTGTCGGCCCTCAGGCAGCTGGTGAATGAGCGGCCCACTACTGCAGCCAGCACTGATTCCTGGAACTCACGTCGTGGACCTGAACGCGGCGTGCGCTGGAGAGGAGGCACCCCGCCTTCTCCTCCAACCTGGAAATATACGTCTACCGACCTTCGTGCCTTCTCCCGGTGGGAACGCAGAGTTTGCACATGGGAGCTTCAGGTCCAGAACCACATGACGAAGGCGGAGGCGGCGTTGGCGCTGTTCACATCGCTCACCGGAGAGGCAGAGCAGGAGACCGAGCACCTAGATCTGCGCTTGGTCAACGACAAGAACGGCATCGAGTATGTGCTGGGTGCTTTGCGCGACCCACTGCAACAGCGGGAGATCTACCAGAAGAGGAAGCTCTTGGCGGACTTCGAGAACGTTTGCCGCGGCCAGTCAGAGTCGGTCCGGCAGTACATCAACAGGAGCCGCAGGATAGAACGAGATTTGGAGAGCGTGGGAGTTCGCCCAGCCCAGATGTACGATGACGAGGCCAAGGGAAACAGGCTGTTAGAACGTTGCCGCCTGCCACCCGACTTGGCCCGGCTGACTTTGGTGGCCTCAGGAAATAGCCTGAGGTACGAGGACATCGAGAATGCGCTCAGCATGCAGTTCCCCGACTTCAAGCCGATTCCCCCGGAACCGTCCCAGCAAGGGCGGTGAGAACGGCAAAGGTTCGCATCAGGGCAGCCACTATGGACAGTACCACTCCAAGAACCGGTTCGGCGGCAAGAACGACCAAGGGCATCCCAGAGGATGCTGACCCTGAGGCCGAAGATGACGGAGATCAGTATGATCAGGAGGAGGGAGATGATGAGCTGAGCCACCTCATGGATGTGCTGACGGTGACCAGCAACAAGCTGAAAAGCCAGGTACTGGGACGGAAGTTCCATGGAAGGAGACCCGTCAGCGAGAGGAAGAAGACTTCAACGTGCTCTGCGTGCGGGGCCTTGGGTCATTGGCATGGAGATGAAGAATGCCCGGTCTCTGGACAAAAGAAGCCAGGAGACTCCGGCAAAGGTGGGAAATCCACCAACGGCAAAGGCAAAGGCGGAAAAGATGCGGCTCCGCCCAAACGTACCTTCATGGTCCGGTTCCCCGACGGCACCCAATCCGAGCACTGCACCCCCTCGGCATCTGCAGCGTCACACCAGGGGTCCTTCTTCACCTATGTTGCCTCCTTCACAGACGTGACGACCCACCTTGTTGACAAGAGTGTGTTCGACATCAACGTGGCAGAAACCCCTAAGTTCGCGGGCTACATGATTTTGGACACAGCATGCCAGCGCTCATGCTGTGGAGAGTCGTGGTTCCTTGCCCACTGTGAGCTTCTCAAGGGGTACCGCATGAAGATCAAGTATCACCGCCACAGACACCTTTCAGTTCGGTGCAGGTGGCCTCCAGAAGTCCAAGTTCAAGGCCTACATCCCCGTCCGCTTCACAGGCCAGGACGCTCCGGGTCTGCTGCTTGGTGCGAGCGTTTTGGAAGCAGATGTTCCCCTACTGGCCAGCAACTTTTTGATGGAATCCCTGGGTTGCATCATTGACCTTGTCAAGCAGCAGGTGTTTGTGACCGCCCCCCTCCTGAAGGTCAATGGCCATTTGGTTGTGAGCATAGCGGAACATCAGAAGCAGGACCACCAGTCTCCTGTTTGGGCCCGACTGTCAAGGGACGTGAACTGGGAGGATCCGCCACCTGAGCTGATTGCATCCCCCGAAGTCATGTTGGATCAGAAGGTTGAAACCGCAGCCTGCCTTGTGAATCGCCCAGCACTGCATGGACCGACCACTTCCTCCGGAGTGGCTTCAAGCATGGAGAACGGTCCTCATCAGGGTTATGCTGATCGAGTTCCGCACCTACAAGGCCATGAGCCGGCTGATGAAGCTCGGCTATGCGACAAGGGAGTGGCTAACGCTTCGCGAGACGATGGAGACGCGCGAGGAGCATGCCAAGGACATGGGACTACCTCGCAGGCCAGCGCCCCAAGCCACATGCACTCACCCTTCGTTCAAGAGGTACGGCAACCGCCACGGAAGGTTCAGCCAGTGCCAGAGGTGTCAACTCAAGCTGCGCTGGGACGAGGCACACGCCGGAGGGGTACCGTTGGGAAGCTCGTCCGGGTCTGCTGTTGTCTTGCCGCTGCCCTCGGCGGACAACATCTTGAGGCCTTCAACGACGCCACCGTCAGGGGCAACCTCCAAGGCAAAGGCCAGAGGCAAGGCGCTCACGGCCAGTACGGCAGCTCCGACCTCTACACGGGAGTCATGGACCAGCCGTTCGCCTTCACCGCTTCCGATTCAGAATCAGAGCAAGACCTCCGGCAGGAAGAACGCGGTGATCGCCTCGGAGGACGAGGGTCTGAGCGACTTCGAGCTGGCATCCATGGAGGAAACGGACCAGGACATCCTGCAGGGCATGAACTACCACTGGGGATGAAGAAGGGACAACGGCAGAAGCTGCGGACAGAGATGAGACAAGCTGGACATCAGCTACAAGCAGAATTCGATGTGATGAGCCAATCATCACGAGCAAGGACTACCCCGCCAAGCCAGGTAGACTTGCTGGAAACCTTCGCGGGCAAGGCCATGATCACGGAGCACGCGGGCGAGTTCAACCTCACCACCATGGTGCCGATCGACTACTCTACGGGCTTCGACTTGTTTCAAGAAGAGGACCAAGAGGCCGTCACCAGAGCAATCAGTCGGTACCGCCCCTTGTTCCTGGTACAAGGCATTGACTGCAGGGATTGGTGCCTCCTCCAGGACAACACGAACTACGTGCGCCGCAAGGTCGAACTTCAGAAGAGGCGGAGGAAAGCACGCAAGCTGGTCAAGCTCGCGACAAAATGGGCAAAATGCCAGATCGACGGCAGGTTCTTCTTGATTGAGAACCCGGTGACCAGTCGACTGTGGCAGGAGCCGGACATCAAGGAGCTGGAGAACATGGACGGCGTGATGTCTACGGTGTGCCATTCGGGCGCTTACGGTGCCACCAACAGCAAGGGCGAGATGATCCGCAAGGGATTTCGCTTCATGAGCAACTGCCCGGAGCTGCTGAACAGACTTCAACGGAAACTCGATCCTGAGCAACTTCAGCAGTGCGTACCCCTCCAGGGCAAAGAGACAACGCTAAGCCAGCACTACCCGCATGAGATGGTCATGGAAATCCTCGCGGGCATGAAGGAAGCAGTACTACGACTTCAACCTGAACGCCTTCAACGGCAAGCACAGGTCTACGTCATGTCCGAGGTGAACGAGAACCCCCAGGACTGGACCTACGTCCTGGACGAAGCAGCCAAGATGTTCAGCACGTCTACGGCCAAGACCTACATCGTGCCTCCCAACGACAAGCTCATGGAGACGATCAAGAAGAATGTTCCATGGAAGATTGAGAAGGTGCAGCTCGCAGCAACACCAGCCATCTTCCGGATGCCCAACAACTTCGCCTACACACATCGCGGCGCCGTGCTGCGACACTCCGACAAGGAGATTGCCTTCATCTTCGAGGACATCGGCGACGTGATCAGACCACGGCAGCGCTTCAGCAAGGCGGTGGAGGTCGCCGTGTTCATCTACGGCTTTGATATGGCAGATCAACCTGATCCACGGCAACCACAGACGGCTGATCCTCAATCTGAGGAAATCCTGAGACAGGAAGGCATCCACTTTCCCGAGGCCTCCAGCAAGATCACCCCACACCTTCGGTCCGTGATTGCCAGACTCCACAAGAACATGGGCCACCCTCGAGCATCCGAGCTCAAGAAGTTGCTGACAATGAATGGCGTCAGCAATCCCAATATCTACAACGCCATCGACCACATGAAGTGCCACACGTGCGATCGCAACAAGCTACCTCCCAATCCAGCACCTGCAGGAGTTCCAACGGAAGGCTACTTGCAGTTTGGCGACCGTGTTCAGTGCGACACCGTCTACATCAGGGACGTCTCTGGGAAGAACCACCCGGTCCTCGGGATCATCTGCGAGACGACCCACCTGCACATCGTGGCGCGGCTGGAGAACCGCACACCGGAGGAAGCCTCCAAGAAGTTTCATTCGTCTTGGGTATCACCGTACGGCTATCCGCTGGTCCTCAAGACGGATCCTGATGGCACCTTCCAGGGAGCCTTTGAAGCAGATCTTCAACTTGGCGGCACCTTCGTGGACTACATCCCACCTGAGGCTCATTCCCAATTGGGCCTGGTCGAACAGCATCATGGAGAAGCTTGTCGATGAGAGAGGCATCAGCGACACCGACTCTTTCGACAAAGCATTATGCGGCTCCTCCTTTGCAAAGAACGCTGGAACCTGGTCAAGCGGGAGACCACCCTTCGTTGCAGCACTGGGCAGGATTCCACGAGTCGGCATGAACCTCATGAGCGACGAGAGATCTCTTAGCATGGGATCAACGCGGCAAGAAGCTCAACGAACGGCAGAACTACTTCGCGCAGAAGCTCAACGGCATCTTGCGACCATGCAAGTTGACGCAGGACTGAGAAGAGCACTCCTTCGGAAGACCAAGCCCGACACGGAGATCAACACGCCTGTGGGCGGCATCGTCGCTTACTGGAGATGGACTGCAAGGAGCGGCAAGAAGCGCGGCGGCTACAAGTTGGCACGACTCCTCGGGAGAGATCCTAACGGCAAGGACTACTGGAACCAGCACGGTCCGGGTCGCTCCACATCAACTTCGAGAAGCCCACGGGATCGAGAATTGGGTCCCCAGCAAGGAGGACGTGGCCGCCCTGAGGGATGCTTCGGACAACTTGCAGCAGAACATTCTGGAGGAAGGAACCCTTCCTGAACCTCCAGATGACGACTACGTGCACGAACCCGTGCCCGAGATCCTTGAACCAGAAGCACAGCTTCCTTTGGTTGCCTCAAGCACCACCAGCACCTCAGTCACTCCAAGAAGAAGCTGTGCAGACGGATACACTCCTACCCGAGATCAGGCAGGAGACTAACGTCCGCATTGACGTGAGTTCACCCACCTACATCAGGAACCAGACCTTCGGCTATCCAGGTCCTCAACGGCAACCTGTCTACACGCCGGCAAGACGAAGGTCAAGAACGCCTACAGCCAAGCGGAGAACTACGGCACGTGAACTACTACCACCTACGTCAAGCGAACCTCAAGCACTACCGGATCAGCAACCACTTCAACCACAACTCGAACCTCAAGCACTACCAGCATCGAGCAGTGACTGTCTCGACCACATCCACCTCAAGATGCCAATGCCACGCCTAGCCTTGAGGAGAGCGCGGACATTGGTGACCCACTACCAGCACCATCGGATGAGAACCTCAAGCCGGCCTACCATCACGAGAACCGAGCGCGGACATCTTGTACACCCACATGTTGCAGGATGACGGCGTGATCCAAGCCCCACCTGGATGGGATGGTTCCAATGAGATCTATATGCCCAACAATCCCAACCGTGCCTTCCTCGCCTACCAGCAGGAGAAGACCTACGTTGGCACTGGAGAGAGTGAGGATGAAGAACCTGCTTGTGAAGACCTTCGAGATGGGACACCAGGCTACCTCAATGAGACCTTCCTCACCAGACAAGAGCAGAAGGCTTTGGACCGTGAGATTCCCTGGCGAGACATCGTCGACAAGGGCGGCAAGTACTTGGAGGCCTTCGTCAAGGCGGCCCAAGAAGAGGAGAAGAGCTGGATGAGCTGGAACAGCGTGCGAGAAGTGGAACCAGAGCTCGCCCGCAAGATCATGGGAGATCCCAGGATGTCCAAGCGGATCATCAAGAGCCGGGCAGCATACCGGGACAAGAATAAGTCCCAAGGCGAACTGAAAGCCAAATGCCGGGTCGTTGCCATCGGATGCTGTGACCCCGATTTGCGGCAATTGGCACGTGACTGCGCGACCCCAACAAGACAGTCCGAGTCCTGAGCATCTACGCATCTGGAGCCAACCAGAAGTTCATGGGCCAGAAGGAGAGATGGATCCTGTGGTCAGGAGACGTCAAGACAGCATTCTTGCAGGGAGTTCAAGAAGGGCGTCACCAACCTCTACTACTTCTACCACCACAGGACGGCATCACCGCCAGAGCGTCCACATTCCGTGGACTCCTGTACGAGATCAAGGGCAACGTCTATGGACTTGCAAATGCTCCAAGGACCTGGGCACGAGAAGTGACGCGCAGGCTCCTTAACAGTGGCTTCATCCGACACAGCCTCGACCACATGGTCTTCTACAAGTTCGGCACGCTCAAGGGGCAGAAGCTACGGAAGTTGCTGTGCATCGTCCTGGTGTATGTTGACGACTTTCTCCTCACCGCCAACGAGCTCTACGACCGTGAAGAGGTCTTGGGCCTGTTTTCTTGGGGCTCTCAGACTCTTGCTAAGCTCAACGAGAGCTTCACCTTCAAGGGCAAGGAGATAACCACCATCGAGACCAAGGACGGCATCTGCGTCAAGCTCAACCAACGCAAGTTCATTGAGACCATCACCTATGGCAAGATCAGCAAGCAAAGACTGCAGGGGCCGCCAGAACTTACCCCCGAGGAGATTGCAGAGCACAGGTCAGTTTCAGGGTGCCTGCAGTGGTTGTCAGGACAGACACGTCCAGACATTGCATCCGTGGTTTCTTTGACCAGCCGCGGGAAGAAGTCCACCATTCAGGACCTTCAGACGCTCTACGACACAGCCGACTTCCTCCACCGGAGCAAGGACGACGGCATTGTCATAGTGGGGCTCAAATTGGATGAGACGTCCATCATCGTCTCGTTCGCAGATTCTTCATGGGCCAATGCAGAAGGACACGCATCACAGCACGGAGCACTGACGCTGGTTTGCGAGCCTTCGATCACCGAGCACATCGGCCTTGGAACTATGTTGGACTGGAAGTCCTCGCGCTCCACCCGGGTCTGCAGAAGTACGCTTGCCGCGGAAGCTAGTGCTGCAGACATGTCAGTTGACAGAAGCTCGTACATGAATTTGGCATTGTCCGAGCTGATGCAGGACACCCCTTCCTTTCGTGTGTCCACCCCACTGCGCATGATCCAGATCACAGATTGCAAGAGCTTGTACGACTGCATCGCTGCGGAGAACCCCAACACAGAAGACAAGCGGACCATAGTGACTATCCGCAGCACGCAGCAGTACATCAACCGCGACAACATCTACTGGGTGCCAACGAAGCTGCAATGGGCTGACAGCTTGACCAAGATCAGCCGCGTTTTGATGGAGCAGTTCACTGAATGGCTTCAGCGGCCGTGGATTCAGCTACATGAGTGACCTCGCCTACGGCAGCTTCTCATTCAGTTGCACACGTGAGAGGCACATCTTCCAACTCACTTTTGGGAGTGTGAATTTGCAGTAAACAGCGCATGTCAGATGTGCGCCATTCGCATCATGTGGCCTTTTCGCGTCAAAGGGCGCCCAGAGCCATAGACTTTCATTTGCAGAGGAAAACCAGGTGCAGCGCGCCATGGATGGAGACACTTCGCATCGAGCGGCACATGCCGAAGTAAGTGGGTAGTTCCACGTGTTCAATGCTTCTGTTCTTTTCTCTTCTCGTTCTTGTAGGCCAACCTCCAAGTCAAATTCTCAGATCGCATAGTTCCATAATGCCACGTGTTCAATACGTCTGTTCTTCTCTCCTTCTTTTGGGCCCACCTCCAAGTCAAAATCGCAGATCGCATAGTTACATCATGCTACGTGTTCAATATTTCTGTTCTTCTCTCCTTTGTTTGGGCCCACCTCCAAGTCAAATTCTCAGATCGCATAGTTACAGAATGCCACGTGTTCAATGCGTTTGTTCGTTTCTCTTGTCCTTCTTATAGGCCCACCTCCAAATTCTCAGACCGCATACTCGCATAGTTCCACGTGTTCAATGCTTCTGTTCTTCTCTCCTTCTTTTGGGCCCAATTTCAAGTCAAATTATCAGATCGCATAGTTACACAATGCCACGTGTTCAATATTTCTGTTCTTCTCTCCTTCTTGTGGGCCCACCTCTAAGTCAAATTCGCAGATCGCATAGATACATAATGCCACGTGTTCAATACTTCTGTTTGTTTTTCCTTCTTTTGGGCCCACCTCCGAGTCAAATTCTCAGATCGCATAGTTACACAATGCCACGTGTTCAATACTTCTGTTCTTCTCTCCTTTTTGTGGGCCCACCTCCAAGTCAAATTATCAGATCACATACTCACATAGTTCCACGTGTTCAATGCTTCTGGTCTTTTCTCTTGTCGCTCTTGTAGGCCCACCTCCAAGTCAAATTCTCAGATCGCATACTCACATAGTTCCACGAGTTCAATATTTCTGTTATTCTCTCCTTCTTTTGGGCCCACCTCCAAGTCAAATTCTCAGATCGCATAGTTACACAATGCCACGTGTTCAATACTTCTGTTCTTCTCTCCTTCTGTTGGGCCCACCTCCAAGTCAAATTCTCAGATCGCATAGTTACATAATGCCACGTGTTCAATACTTCTGTTCTTCTCTCCTTTTTTTGGGCCCACCTCGAAGTGAAATTATCAGATCGCATACTCACATAGTTCCACGTGTTCAATGCTTCTGGTCTTTTCTCTTGTCGTTCTTGTAGGCCCACCTCCAAGTCAAATTCTCAGATCGCATACTCACATAGTTCCACGTGTTCAATATTTCTGTTATTCTCTCCTTCTTTTGGGCCCACCTCCAAGTCAAAATGTCGGATCACATACTTACATAGTTCCACGTGTTCAATGTTCTGTTCTTTTCTCTTGTCGTTCTTGTAGGCCCCTCCAAGTCAAATTATCACATCACATACTCACGTTCAATACTTCTGTTCTCCTCTCCTTCTTTTCGGCCCACCTCCAAGTCAAATTCTCACATCGCATCCTCACATAGTTCCACGTGTTCAATACTTCTGTTCTTGTCTCTTTTTTGGGGCCCACGTCTAAGGCAATTTATCAAATCACATACTCACATAGTTCCACGTGTTCAATGCTTCTGTTCTTCTCTCCTTCTTTTGGGCCCACCTCCAAGTCAAATTCTCAGATCGCATAGTTACATAATGCCACGTGTTCAATACTTCTGTTCTTCTCTCCTTTTTTTGGGCCCACCTCGAAGTGAAATTATCAGATCGCATACTCACATAGTTCCACGTGTTCAATGCTTCTGTTCTTTTCTCTTGCTCTTCTTGTAGGCCTGAATTCTCAGACCGCATACTCCTTATAGTTCCACGTGTTCAATGCTTCTGTTCTTCTCTCCTTCTTTTGGGCCCACCTCCAAGTCAAATTATCAGATCGCATAGTTACACAATGCCACGTGTTCAATACTTGTGTTCTTCTCTCCTTCTTGTGGGCCCACCTCTAAGTCAAATTCGCACATCGCATAGTTACATAATGCCACGTGTTCAATACTTATGTTCTTCTCTCCTTCTTTTGGTCCCACCTCCAAGTCAAATTATCAGATCGCACACTCACATAGTTCCACGTGTTTAATGCTTCTGGTCTTTTCTCTTGTCGTTCTTGTAGGCCCACCTCCAAGTCAAATTCTCAGATCGCATACTCACATAGTTTCACGTGTTCAATGCTTCTGTTCTTCTCTCCTTCTCTTGGGCCCACCTCCCAGTCAAATTCTCAGGTCGCATAGTTACATAGTGCCACGTGTTCAATACTTCTGTTCTTCTCTCCTTCTTTTGGGCCCACCTCCAAGTCAAATTCGCAGATCGCATAGTTACATAATGCCACGTGTTCAATATGTATGTTCTTCTCTCCTTCTTTTCGGCCCACCTCCAAGTCAATTTATCAGATCACATACTCACATAGTTCCACGTGTTCAATGCTTCTGTTCTTTTCTCTTGTCGCTCTTGTAGGCCCACGTCCAAGTCAAATTCTCAGATCGCATACTCACATAGTTCCACGAGTTCAATACTTCTGTTCTTCTCTCCTTCTTTTGGGCCCACCTCCAAGTCAAATTCGCAGATCACATAGTTACATAATGCCACGTGTTCAATACTCCTTCTTGTGGGCCCACCTCCAAGTCAAATTCTCAGATCGCATAGTTACACAATGCCACGTGTTCAATACTTCTGTTCTCCTCTCCGTCTTTTCGGCCCACCTCCAAGTCAAATTCTCACATCGCACACTCACATAGTTCCACGTGTTCAATACTTCTGTTCTTGTCTCTTTTTTTTGGGCCCACCTCTAAGGCAATTTATCAGATCACATACTCACATAGTTCCACGTGTTCAATGCTTCTGTTCTTCTCTCCTTCTTTTGGGCCCAATTTCAAGTCAAATTATCAGATCGCATAGTTACACAATGCCACGTGTTCAATACTTCTGTTCTTCTCTCCTTTTTTTGGGCCCACCTCCAAGTCAAATTGCCAGATCACATACTCACATAGTTCCACGTGTTCAATGCTTCTGTTCTTTTCTCTTGTCCTTCTTGTAGGCCCACCTCCAAGTCGAATTCTCAGACCGCATACTCCTTATAGTTCCACGTGTTCAATGCTTCTGTTCTTCTCTCCTTCTTTTGGGCCCGCCTCCTCCTCAGATCGCATAGTTACATAATGCCACGTGTTCAATACTTGTGTTCTTCTCTCCTTCTTTTGGGCCCACCTCCAAGTCAAATTCTCAGATCGCATAGTTACATAATGCCACGTGTTCAAACTTATGTTCTTCTCTCCTTCTTTTGGTCCCACCTCCAAGTCAAATTCGCAGATCGCATAGTTACATAATGCCACGTGTTCAAAACTTCTGTTCTTCTCTCCTTCGTTTGGGCCCACCTCCAAGTCAACTTCTCAGATCGCATACTCACATAGTTCCACGTGTTTAATGCTTCTGGTCTTTTCTCTTGTCGTTCTTGTAGGCCCACCTCCAAGTCAAATTCTCAGATCGCATACTCACATAGTTCCACGTGTTCAATGCTTCTGTTCTTCTCTCCTTCTCTTGGGCCCACCTCCAAGTCAAATTCTCAGGTCGCATAGTTACATAGTGCCACGTGTTCAATGCTTCTGTTCTTCTCTCCTTCTTTTGGGCCCGCCTCCAAGTCAAATTCTCAGATCGCATAGTTACATAATGCCACGTGTTCAATACTTGTGTTCTTCTCTCCTTCTTTTGGGCCCACCTCCAAGTCAAATTCGCAGATCGCATAGTTACATAATGCCACGTGTTCAATACTTCTGTTCTTCTCTCCTTCTGTTGGGCCCACCTCCAAGTCAAATTGCCAGATCACATTCTCACATAGTTCCACGTGTTCAATGCTTCTGTTCTTTTCTCTTGTCCTTCTTGTAGGCCCACCTCCAAGTCGAATTCTCAGACCGCATACTCCTTATAGTTCCACGTGTTCAATACTTGTGTTCTTCTCTCCTTCTTTTGGGCCCACCTCCAAGTCAAATTCTCAGATCGCATAGTTACATAATGCCACGTGTTCAATACTTGTGTTCTTCTCTCCTTCTTTTGGGCCCACCTCCAAGTCAAATTCTCAGATAGCATAGTTACATAATGCCACGTGTTCAATACTTATGTTCTTCTCTCCTTCTTTTGGTCCCACCTCCAAGTCAAATTCGCAGATCGCATAGTTACATAATGCCACGTGTTCAAAACTTCTGTTCTTCTCTCCTTCGTTTGGGCCCACCTCCAAGTCAACTTCTCAGATCGCATACTCACATAGTTCCACGTGTTTAATGCTTCTGGTCTTTTCTCTTGTCGTTCTTGTAGGCCCACCTCCAAGTCAAATTCTCAGATCGCATACTCACATAGTTCCACGTGTTCAATGCTTCTGTTCTTCTCTCCTTCTCTTGGGCCCACCTCCAAGTCAAATTCTCAGGTCGCATAGTTACATAGTGCCACGTGTTCAATGCTTCTGTTCTTCTCTCCTTCTTTTGGGCCCGCCTCCAAGTCAAATTCTCAGATCGCATAGTTACATAATGCCACGTGTTCAATACTTCTGTTCTTCTCTCCTTCTTTTGGGCCCACCTCCAAGTCAAATTCGCAGATCGCATAGTTACATAATGCCACGTGTTCAATACTTCTGTTCTTCACTCCTTCTGTTGGGCCCACCTCCAAGTCAAATTCTCAGATCGCATAGTTACATAATGCCACGTGTTCAAAACTTATGTTCTTCTCTCCTTCTTTTGGTCCCACCTCCAAGTCAAATTTGCAGATCGCATAGTTACATAATGCCACGTGTTCAAAACTTCTGTTCTTCTCTCCTTCGTTTGGGCCCACCTCCAAGTCAACTTCTCAGCTCGCATACTCACATAGTTCCACGTGTTCAATGCTTCTGTTCTTCCCTCCTTCTTTTGGGCCCACCTCCAAGTCAAATTCTCAGATCGCATAGTTACATAATGCCACGTGTTCAGTACTTCTGTTCTTATCTCCGTTATTTTGGGCCCACCTCCAAGTCAATTCATCAGATCACATACTTACATAGTTCCACGTGTTCAATGCTTCTGTTTTTTTTCTCTTGTCCTTCTTCTAGGCCCACCTCCAAGTCAAATTCTCAGATCGCATAGTTACATAATGCCACGTGTTCAGTACTTCTGTTCTTCTCTTCTTCTTTTGGGCCCACCTCCAAGTCAATTCATCAGATCACATACTTACATAGTTCCACGTGTTCAATGCTTCTGTTTTTTTCTCTTGTCCTTCTTCTAGGCCCACCTCCAAGTCAAATTCTCAGATCACATACTAACATAGTGCCACGTGTTCAATACTTCTGTTCTTCTCTTCTTCTTTTGGGCCCACCTCCAAGTCAAATTCTCACATCACAGACTCACAGAGTTCCACGAGTTCAAGTCCTTCTTTTCTATTCTCCTGTCATTGTTTTGGGCCCACCCGCCTTCCAAATCAATTGCGTTGATCAAATAGTTCCACGTGTTCAATACTTATGTTCTTCTCACCATCTTTTGGGCCCACCTCCAAGTCAAATTCGCAGATCGCATAGTTACATAATGCCACGTGTTCAATGCTTCCCTTTTTCTGTTGTTGTCTTGGGCCCACCTCCGAGTCAAATTGTCAGGTCACATAGTTCCACGTCAATGCTCTTTTCCTTTTTTATCCTGACGTTGTTTGGGCCCACCTGCAGGTCAAATTCTCAGATCACATAGTTCCACGTGTTCAACGCTTCTCTTCTTTTCTTTTGTCGTTGTTTTAGGCCCACCTCCAAGTCAAATTGTCAGATCAGATAGTTCTACGTGTTCAATGCTTATGCGCCCTTCTTTTCTAAGCCCACTTTCAATTCAATTTGTCAGACGACATGTTTTCATGTGTTGAATCCTTCTGTTCTTTGCTCCTGTCGTTGTTTTGGGCCCGCCTCCAAGTCAAGTTCTCAGATGACATAGTTGCACTTGTCGTTGCTTTAGGCATTTTAGGCCCACCTCCAAGTAAAATTCCCAGATCACTTAGTTCGACTTGTTTAATGCTTCTGCTCTTGTCTCCGGTCGTTGCTTTGGGCCCACCTCCAAGTCAAATTTTCAGATCACATAGTTCTACGTGTTCAATGCTTCTTTTCTTTTTTCCCGTCATTGCTTTGGGCCCACGTCCAAGTCAATTTCTCGGATTGTCCCACGCGTTCAAATTGTTGCAATGCTGCTTTGCTTTTCTCCTCGTTGTTTCGGGCCGACCTCCAAGCCAAATTGTCAAACCACATAGTTCCACGTGTTTAATGCTTCTGTGCTTTTCCTCTGTTTTAGGCCCACCTTCAAGTCAATTTGTTAGTCCGCATAGTTCCAAGTGTTCAATCCTTCTGTTCTTTGCTCCTGGTTGCTTTGGGCCCACCTCCAAGTCAACTTATCGGATCACACAGTTTCGTTGTTCCACGTGTTCGTGCTTCTGTTCTTTTCTCCTGTGGTTGTTTTGGGCCCACCTCCAAGTCAATTTACCAGATCACATACTTACACAATGCCCCGTGGTCAATGCTTCTGTTTTTTTCTCCTAGCTTTGAGCCACCACCAAGTCAAATTCTCAGATCACATGTTCAATGTGTTTGTTCTTGTCTTCTGGTCTTGTTTTGGGCCCACCTCCAAGTCAAAATCTCAGATCACATAGTTCAAGGTTTTTAATGTTTCTTTATGTTCTTCTGTCGTTGTTTTGGGCCCACCTCAAGTCAATTTCTCAGATGATATAATTCTACATGTTCAATGCTTTTTTGTTGTTTGTGTCGCTGTTTTTGGCCCACCTCCAGTCAAGTTCTTTGATCACATAGTTACGTGTGCAATGCTTATTTTTATGTTCTCCTGTCGTTGTTGTGGGCCCGCCTCCAAGTTAAATTTTCAGATCGGATAGTTCCACGCGTTCAGTATTATTTCAATGTTGCTTTTCTTGTCTCCTTTCGTAGTTTCGGGCCGACCTCCAAGCTAAATTGTCAAACCACATAGTTCATGGTATCCAAGCCAAATTACATAGTTTCTCAATTTGTTGGACCACATAGTTCCACTTGTTCAATCCTTCTGTTCTTTGCTCCTGTCGTTGCTTTGGGCCTACCTCAAGTCGTTTGATCGGATCACACAGTTTCATTGTTCATCGTGTTCCATGCTTTTGTGCGTTTCTCCTGTGGTTGCTTTGGGCCCACCTCCAAGTCAGTTTATGAGATCACATAGTTACATAGTTCCGCCACACGTTCATTGTTTTTGCTCTTGTTTTGTGTTTTTGTTTTGCGCCCACCTCCAAGTAATTGCATAGTTCCACGTGTTCAACGCTTGTTTCTTTTTTCCGTTGTTGTTTTGAGTTGTTCCCTCAAGACACGTAACATTAACATTGGGTTTTTTGAAAGAACCACAGGCAGCAACAAGCAATTGCGGGGGTGGCGCCAAAGTGCTTAATTGCCAAGCAGGGTGTGCAGGTTCAGTTTGAGGCGTTGTTTCTTTGCGGCCTAAGCACAAACCATGGAGGCTCTCCTCCCTGAACCGTTGCTTTAAACTGACCGTTTCGGCTTCACATGTTGTTTGGTGACGCAGAATTCACCGCCAGTGCCTGTGGATCAAATTTTCTGGAATGGCTGGCAGTAAGCATTCTCAAGTGAAGGCTCGCTTACAAAAACTTCCTGATCCACTCAGCTGAGCTTAGGCTAGATTTGCTCAAGAAGTGTGCCTCTTTTTCTTGTCTCCCGTTGTTTTGGGCCCATCTCCAAGTCGAACTCTCAGATCACATGGTTTGACGTGTTCAATGTTGTTTTTGTTTTTTCCCGCGGTTGTTTAGGCCCAGCTCAAAGGCACAATATCAGATCACATAGTTGTACGTGTTCAATGTCTTCTGTTCTTGTTCTCCCGATCAGAAAGTTCCATGTGTTCAGTACTTCTTTTCGTTTTTCCTGTCATTGCTTTGGGCCCACCTCCAACTCAAATTCTCAGATCACATAGTTCTACGTGTTCAATGCGTTTTCGCGTTTCTCTTGTTGTTGTTTTGGGCCCACCTTCAAGTCAAGTTCTTCGATCACAAAGTTGCAAATGTTCAATGCTTCTGTTCTTTTCTCCTGTCGTTGTTTTGCGCCCACCTCCAAGCCAACTTATCAAATCACATAGCCTTAACTGTTCAATGTCTTTTTCTTTTTCTCCTGTCGTTGTTTTGGGGCCACCTCCAAGCCAAATATTGAGACCCACTTGTTCAATGAGTCTGTTCCTTTTGTCTGTCGTTGTTTTGGGCGCACCTCCAGGTCAATTCATCAGATCACAAAGTTCCACGTGTTCAATGCTCTTGTGGTTGTTTGGCCCCACCTAATTCCACGTGTTCAACGCTTCGGATATGTTGTCTTGTCCTTGTTTTAGTTCTTCCTCCAAGTCACAGATCACATAGTTACATAATGCCACTTGTTCAATGCGTCTGTTCTTGCCTCCTTGTATTGGGCCCACCTCCAAGTCGAATTATAAGAACACATAGTCACATAGTCACATAGTTCCACGTGTTCAACGCTTCTTTTCTTGTCTCCTGTCGTTGCTTTGCGCCCACCTTCTAGTCAAGTTCTCAGATCAGATAGTTCCACGTGTTCAATATCGTTGCAATGCTTCTTTTCTTTCTCCTGTCGTTGCTTTGGGCTTACCTCAAAGCCACATTGTCAAACCACATAGTTCATTGTATGCAAGCCAAATTATCAAACTACATAGTTTCACGTGTTCAATGCTTCTGTTCTTTTCTTCTGCTTTTGGCCCACCTTCAAGTCAAATTTGGTGGACCACATAGTTTTACGTGTTCAATCCTTCCGTTCTTTGCTCCTCTCGTCGCTTTGGGCCTACCTCCAAGTCATTTTATCGGATCACACAATTTCACGTGTTCAATGCTCTTGTGGTTGTTTGGGCCCACCTTCAAGTCAAATTTGTTTGAGAACAAAGTTCCACGTGTTCAATCCTTCTGTTGTTTGCTCCTGTCGTTGCTTTGGGCCTACCTCCAGGTCATTTTATCGGATCGCGCAGTTTCATTGTTCCACGTGTTCGGTGGTTCTGTTCTTTTCTCCTGTGTTTGTTTTGGGCGCACCTGCAAGTCAATTTATCACATAGTTCCACCACATGTTCATTGTGTTTGTTCCTGTTTTTCCTGTCATTGTTTTGGGCCCACCTCCACGTCAAATTATCTGATCACATAGTTCCATGGTCAACGCGTCTTTTTTTTTTAACGTTGTGTTTTGGGCGCACATCCAAGTCAAATTGTAAGATCACATAGTTCCACGTGTTCAATGCTTCTGTTCGTTTTTGCTCCTGTCGTTGTTTTGGGCTCATGTCCAAGTCAAACTCTCAGATCACATAGTTTCATGTGTTCAATGCTTCTTTTCTTTGCTCCTGTTGTTGTTGTGCGATCCACGACAACGTCTTAGATCACATAGCTCTACGTGTTTAATGTTGTTGTTGTTTTCTTCCGCGGTTGTTTTGGGCCCACCTCCACGTCAAAATCTCAGATCACACAGTTTTACATGTTCATTGTCTTCTTTTTTCTTTTCTTTGTTCGTCGCTGTTTTGGGCGCACCGCCAAGTCATATTCTTAGATCACATAGTTTCACATGTTCTGTCTTTTTTTTCTTTTTTCTCCTGTCGTTGATTTGGGCCACCTTCAAGCCAAATTGTGAGAGCACGTAGTTCCACGTGTTCAATGCTTCTGTTCTTTCCTCCTGTTGTTGTGTTGGGCCCACCTTCAGGTCAATTTATCAGATCACATAGTTCCACGTCTTCAACTTCAGTGTTTCATTTTGTTCTCCTGTATTTGTTTTTTGGGCCCACCATTCAGTCAAACTCTGAGATGACATCTTTCCGCGCGCTCAATGCCTTTGTTGTTTATCCGGTCATTGTTTCAGGCCGACCTCCAAGTCAAATTCTCAGGTCACATAGTGACATTCAGGGAAACCAACTAGCAGGGATACAGGGCAAACCAGGGATACGGGAGGATTCCCCCTAAATGCGCCTTGACTAAGTTTATGGGAAATGGCGCCAAGGGAATCCCCTCATATCCCCGCTCCCTGCGTATCCCCGCTTGTTTGTTTGTCCAACACATAGTTCCACATGTTCAATGCTTTTGTTTTTTCTCCTGTCGTTGTTTTTTGGGCCCACGTCCAAGTCAAACTCTCAGATCAGAGAGTTCCACGTGTTCAATGCTTTTTTTTCTCATTCTTCTGTCGTTGCTTTGGGCCTACCTCCAAGTCAATTTCTTTGATCGCACGCTTCCACGTGTTCAATTTTTTGTGTTTTCCTCCTGTCGTTGTGTTGTGCCCACCTCCAAGTCAATTTCTCAGATCACAAAATTGTACGTATTCAATGCTTCTTTTCTGTTCTCCTGTCGTTGTTTGGAGCCCACCTCCAAATTCTCAGATCACAAAATTCCACTTGTTTAATGCTTCTGTTCTTTTCTCCGGTGATTGTTTCGGGCCCAGCTCCAAGTCAAATTCTCAGATCACATAGTTCCAGGTGTTCAATGCTTCTTTCTCCTGGCGATTCTTTGGGCCCACCTCCAAGTCAATTTCTCAGATGGCATAGTTTCCTCGCGTTGAATACCTTTTCTTTCTCCGCTTCTTGTTTTGGGCCCACCTCCAAGTCAAATTCTCAGGTCACATAGTTACATAGTTCCACATGGTCAACGATTCTGTTCTTTTCTCCTGTCGTTGTTTTGGGCCACCTCCAGGCCAACTTATCAAGCCATTCAGCTCAAACTGTTCAATGCTTCTTTTCTTTTTGTCCTGTCATTGTTTTGGGCCAACCTCCAAGCCAAATTGTGAGACCTTGTAGTTCCACGTGTTCAATGCTTCTGTTCTTGTCTTTTGTCGTTGTGTTGGGCCCACCTTCAGGTCAGTTATCAAATCACATAGTTCCAAGTGTTCAATGCTTCTTGTCTTTTCCCCTGTCCTTTTTTTGGGCCCACCTCCAAGTCAAATTCTCAGATCACATCAACCTTCCACACAGTCAATTGCCGCCCTACTCGTCATTTTTCTCGGAGTTTCCCTTTCAAATTCAGTGCGGCCATGGTTTCCCCCCTAGATGGCACGACTTCCCCATGTTTGCTTGATTACCCACAAGATGGTTGTGCAATCTACTTTCGCCCTGATATACCGATGATGGGTGTACTTTCAGGTCAGATTGAACATCGATGGCGCTGGTTTCAGTCTGGTCATGTTGGTCCCTATTCTCTTGTCCAACATCTATTGTTCTAAGCGGACACCTATACCTTTCAAAGGGCCCCAATTCGCAACCCCCCCAATCACCCAACCATCCCCAACCTCCAAACCTCCAAACCTCCAACCCCCCAACCTTCACCCAACCGCCCCGGCTCTTTCCGAGTCGCCCAGCCAGGTGGATCCTTTCAGGGCCTTTGCAGTGGGCCCCGGCGGGGCGAAGATGAGAAGCTGCTCGGACTCCAATGGAAGCGAGGCTCAACCCGAAACGTGGGACAATGGGAGCGCCTGTCAAACGAGGGGTTTCGTTTCGACCCCCTCTCCCGCAAACGGGAGTTTTCCTGTTGGTTTCCCTTTAAGCCAACCCCAACCATGGTATACTCGGGGGGGGGGGGGGGAAACGTGTTGTTGGCATTGATGCGTTGCCCTGTTTTGCACTGGGGGGGGCTTCGGCCAACAGATTGCTTGAGGGGGCCGCATACTTGGTGGGCGACTGGTGGCCCAGCTGTTGCTCCTGCTCCTGCTCCTGCAAAAATGGAATCGGCCCCAGAAAGGATCCCCCTTTTCTATCAGGATGATTTTTGCCGTCAGGGTTTGGGTCCAAAGCCAAAGCAGCTGTGCTTTCATACGAACCTACCTTTGGGCTTCAGCCATGGGAATCCCCGCGCACAGTGCTAAGCGGCACGCATTCGCTTCTGTTTCTATTCCTGAAACTGGGCATGGGCGCGGACCTATAAGTCCTGCTTGGGTGTTGTCCTTCTTGGAAATTGAAGCGGAGGTCACCCAATGGGTAAGAGGTTGCCTTGCTTTCCCTTTTTCTTTTTGTCAGGCTCTACATCTTTTGGTTCGGAATAACTACTTTTCCCAGGTGTTGAAAGGCATAGACCTGCATAACTCACCCCACAACCCCTTGATACTGAATGTGCCTGTGACGTGCCGGACTTGCTATTTCCTGAGACGACAAACCGATTGGATAAACAACTAGTTTCGACAGGTTGGCCCATCGCCTGCTTCCGCCTGGAGTCTTCATGACCCTGAAAACATGGGGTCGTTACCCAAAATTAAGGGGTCCTGGAGCCACTTTTCAAGGGTCATGGAGACTCTAGGTACATCGGTTGCTCTTGAACGACGTGTTTTTTGGTTTGCGCTGGGGGTTGGCATGGCGCGTAACTGACTCACCAACCCTTACTGCAAGTGCTCGGGCCGTGCCCCCTCAGCCTTTCAGGGCTCCTTAAAAGACACATTTTGCAATATTTTGCACATTTGAAACATGTTGCTTTTTCTACCAAAGTAAAGTTGGACACCACCATTTACAAGGCAGCATTCAGGTGTATACTGTAAGGATCCCTGCCTTTTTGGTCAGGGCAGACAGCTCTTCGAGGCATTTCTCGGGGCACAAAATGCGCAGCTCAGGGTGCAGCTGCCGACGGAGGTTTGCAGCTTCGAGCAGCTGCTGGAGCTGACCTACCGGGCGCTCCGCAGCATCACCTGGCCCGACTGCACGCGCGGGCCCCGGGAATCGTCACAGGGCCTCGGTTTTTGGCGGTTTTTGGGCTTCTCCCGGTGATCTGCGCGGGCGTTGGGGGGGAGGATCTGCAGGGCCCTTCTTTTGGCGTTTTGGGCTTCTCCCAAAAAGTGGTGGGTTCTGGGTTGCATGGTGGTCCACCGCAGGGGTGGGAGGGTTGCCGGTTCCCTTTTCCTTCAGCACACCCCTTTTTATCAATCAATGGTTAGCTTTCCTTGGTGCTGGCAGGTGTTTGAGTTTGGTTTCGGGTGTGCAACCGGGACTGTTTGGGTGGTGGACTAGAGCATGGATTCTTGTGAATGTGATGGAGTGGTGCGGGTGGTGCCCAGGGACGTGTGCATATGGCCCAATGTTGGCATGCCAGAGGTCAGAGGGACGCCGTGTGGCGCATGCCCGCATTGTGCAAGCAAAGTCCTTCAATTTGCACCAGCTTTCTTTGGCTGTGTTTTGATAAAAAAAAAGGTGGCCGATCGATCAATGATTCTTTGACATCGGATGCACCAGAAGTCAGCCCAGACCCAGACCTCCAGTGGCACTATTTTTGGCTTTTCCTAGGTCCCGTGAAAATGAAGCCAAAAATACCATGGGCCACAGCCATCCTGGAAGTGGATGGGGTGCCAGAAAGGAAAGTTATTTCTGAACTCTCTACCCTCCTTCAGGCCAACATGGAAGCGCCCAGGACCTGCTTGGAAGACCGGGTTCCATTTACAGAGGCCTTCTGAAAACTTCCATGCTGGTCTGAGGCAGTATATGATTGCTTTGCCTTTTGGCGAGCTCACCTGGGCAAAACAAAAAGGCTGCGTATGCTTCAGGCCCTGAACTTGCTGACCCAATTCTTGTTTCAGGTCTTGCAGGCGTAGGATTTGCAGATCTGTGCATGGACCTCTTTTCTTTGGACTACTGTGGGGCTGGGTATGCTTGGGGCCCCCATCTAGGTCCCCCAATATTGCCCTTTTACCCTTTTTGGGAGAGGATTCCCCTACTGCAATAGACTACAGCAAAAAAAATCGGTTACCCTTCTTCTCACCTCTCTACTGGAGGACCTAGTAGTTAAGCCACAGCCAACGGTCAAATGAGGAGGAACTAAACTCCCAGCCCGGAGCACCTTTCACCGAAGGTCGCGGCGCAACGTCATGCAGAGCGGCCAGAAGAGCATCAAGGCGGCGGTGATGTGTCTAGGATGACCCACGAAATCGATGCTTTCTCTTGGTTTTCCTTCAGCCCCCAAAAAGAGCATCCTCCAACAACACATGTCAACTGCTTCTTAAGCGAACCCAGAGGAACAACAATGGGGGTTCCGTAGGCTATCTTGAGAAACCCGCGCCTTCCTTCCCCCTTGTTTGTTTCCAAGGTCTGTATTGACGAAGGAATTTGCAGAAGGGCTGGAATTTTATGAATCCAGGCTTTCAATTGACCCCCAGCATTGAACAGAAAGACCCTGTTGTTGTTGTTGTTTTGTTTTTTCCCGGGAGGAACAACTCCCCAAAGGGAACCAACATAACACCAGCCCTTTGCCTCTTGAGTTGGACACGCTCCCATGTCCCATGGCTATGCGATGGATGCTCCCCAAATGGGAGGGGTGCTGTCGGTGTGAGTGGTTAGCTTCCTGCAGCATGGCCTTCTTGTCGCAAGCAAGCCAACAAGTTGAAAAATCAATGGCTGTGAGTTTCTCAGAAGTGCTTGGCACGGGTTGTCGTGTCAACCCTGTTGAAGGGCCGGGGGTGTTTTCTATTGGGCTTGCACTGCCATATGATGGAAACCTGGCACATGTCAGAAGTACGATACCTGGCAACGTTAACATCAGTACAAGCAACAAGAATCTCCATATGGAGTTTGGACCTTCAAAAGGGAATGTTGGAGGTTCCATAGTTATCAGGGTAGTGTCTCACTTGCCCAAGGCTATTTGTTGATGTTTGTTAATCTGTTTTGGGCCAGCAGGTGTTTGCTCCACTCGATTCCTCAGCTCGGCCACAGGTGGCAAGGCATGAAAGACTTGGTGGTCAGTGGCCTTCGGGCAACACGGGTGGCCCCGAACGAATGGTCTCCTTTCAGGGTTCCTGTCCTTTGACCAGTTGTCCCGTAGCACAGTGCTGCCCTTTTTGGCTTATCGTTGGACCCTGTTTACACCACCCCCCCCCCCCCTCGCTAGGAGTGCAACCAATCAGCTGGACCCTCTTTAAGCGAGATTCTGGGGGTCTGGGAGGGACAGTACTTACTTTAGTATTGCCAATTCTACTTTAGTATTGCCAAGGCTGACCCTCAGATTCCCAGTACTTACTTCAGTATTGCCGATTCTACTTTAGTATTGCCAAGGCTGACCCTCAGATTCCCAGTACTTACTTTAGTATTGCCAATTCTACAAGGCTGACCCTCAGATTTCCAGTACTTACTTCAGCAGCCCCCAAAACAGTCACATTTAAAGAGGCTCAGGGCCCCTTGTGGACACCCCCCTTTGTGTGACTGTTTGCCCGTACTTTTTGTGTAAAGAAGTTATCTTAAATTTGATGGTTTGGGGACCACTTCAAAGAATCCTGTTTGCCCGGATTTGTTTGCTCGTTTTCTTTGCTCGATTTCTTTGCCAATTTTGTTTGGCCCATATTTCTTCGGAGGCTTAGTCCCAGACAAGATCAGGAGAGTAAACAACAAGATTTTTTTTCGGGGAAACATTTGCTGCAATTGAGGACCCCCAAAACAGTTACAAAATCCCGAGTTACGAAAAAAGCATGCTACACTAGAGTGGACTATTAATATAGGAGGTGTAACATCAGTGGTTTAACCCCAAAATGGGGCTTTCGTGTTCGACCAGGGCCACTAGGCATCCACAGGAATGCAATCCCTATTCTTGCTGATCTGCGCCCATTGCTCCAAGTGCAACCTTTCATCTTTCTCGCGGGGGGTGGTACCATCTGCAGGCCTTCTGCTTGGGCTGCATCAAGCCCTACTTTACGCCGCTGACGCTCAGCGCGAAGACGCGGTTGCTCCCGCCGCCTCGGCTGCAAATCACGAAGTCGCCAGTTATCGCGCCGGTTAGATTCACTACATCGGGTAGAAAGGGATTGGAGCCACTTCCATTCATCGATTATGGAATCCGAAGGGCGTCACGGAACAACTTGTGAAAGTGAGTTTCTCAAGATTGTTTTTGGGGATAGTTTCCGGTGAAGCCACCATTTGGAGGGTAATTGAGGATGTCACTTCAATGCACGTGCAGTGTCCATATTGCTTACATGCAGGGGGCCTACACGATTCTGAGGGATCTGCTTTTAAATCCTGCCCGCCCTGGATACTCTTCCCAAACAAACTGTTTGGATAACCTGCCCATGGGCCATGAAGGGAATGCTTAACGCAATACTGAACCATATTGAAACTGGGACACAATACGTTCTTGTCTCAGCCTTGCCCCCCCCCCCACCCACCCACCCCGCCAATTCTTTGCGTGCCCAAAAAGAGGAAGCCCGGGAGGATAAGATGGGTATGTGTCAACATAGGGGTACCCAAAAATGATTTGCTTATTTTTTTTGGTGCCCATTGATCCATTGAAAAACTGACAGGCCCGCATCGTTGTTTTGTCGTCCAGACCTGGACCAGAGGCTCTTGGCAAGGTACAGTTCCATCCAAGTGAAGTGGGGAATGTCTTGGTTGGATGCCGGATAACCCCAATTTGCCAAACTCAATATGGGTTTCGTTTGCAGAGAAAAGTAAGCCTTTGTGCATGTTAGGTGGTAGGAATTTGTACCCTACTATGTTAGGCGGTAGGAATAGGTACCCGACCGCCATGAAGAGGTAGTTGATGCTAGTTTTTGTGGTATACTAGTGGGTAGGGTTTTGTACTTGACTCACCGCCTGCCATGACGAGGTAGTTGATGCTAGCTTTTGTGGCATGCTAGTGGGTGGGAATTTGTAAACGCAAGACCGCCTGCCATGACAAGATAGTTGATGCTAGCTTTTGTGGCATGTTAGGCAGTACGAATAAGTACCCGACTGACCGCCTGCCATGAAGTCGTTCATGCTAGCTTTTGTGGCATGTTAGGTGGTAGGAATTTGTACCCCAGTGACTCGCTGCCAGGACGAGGTACTTGATGCGAGCTTTTGTTGCATGTTAAGTGGTAGGAATTTGTAGTCGATGCTAGCCTTCGTGGCATTGTTGGCCATCAATTTTTGTACCTGAGTGACGTCTGCCCATGTAGATGCAGTTGATGCTATTTGGTTTGCCGTTAGTGCCCTAGGAATTTGTCCCCATTCGACCGCTTGCCATGAAGAGGTAGTTGATGCCAGGTTTTGTGCTTGTACCCGAGTGACCGCCCTCTGTGTAGGGACGGTTCTTTCTTTTGGCCGTGTGATGTTGCACGGCTCTTCAGTGTTGCAGGTTGCGCAAACTGAGAAGCTTTTGAGCCTTCACGTGAGTTAACCCAGTTGTTGATGACCAAGCCCCTTCAGAGCCCTGATTTAGAGCTCTCACCAGACAGGTCTGATTCCCTTTGTTACACTTGGATGCGCGCAAATAGATCCTTCCTGGATGGGCCAAGCTGAATTTGTCGTTGGGCGAACACTCCAAGTTTCAATTGGGCCACTGGCCCCTAGCAGAGTTGCACCACCCAAGAAGTTGCATGCAATGGATTTGGGTCCTTAGGTCGGACATGGAAATCATGCAAAATAAAGTGGGATTCATCCTTTTGTTGACAGAATTGAAATGTTGGGCGGGCGTTGCAGGTGGGAAGGTGCTTAGACTAGGTAGGTGAGGGCACTGTGTTTCCAGCAGATTGAAGGGAAGCAGTTTGCAGCCTTGTTCCCTTTTTGATGTGCTGCTTTGTTGAGGCCCCATTTTTGGTTGGTGAAGCCCAGGGCCCAGAAAGGGTTCCTTCTGTGTCCTGGTCAACGGCTGGAACTGGCCAATGGCTTTGGGCACAGCCCGCACCATATTTTTTCTCAGGCGGGTCACGCGGCTCCTCACTCTGCTGGGCGAGACGATGGACCCGACCTTCCGCTACACCTCCGTCAGGCTCTCAGAGTCTGATCGTACCCCAAAAGCCCAAAGGACCTCTTGGAACAGGGCTCCTGAAAAGATACATGTTGCAACCATTTGAAGCATGTTGCTTTTTCAACACCAAAATAAAGTTGTAAACCACCATTTGCAAGGCAATGTTCAGATCCCTGCGGGGGCAAGTTGTTTCGCCGTTGAACCTGCAAAAGCTAGCTGACCTTTGACTCAGGGGAGTGGAGGAAACCAACAGGTATGGACTTATTTTGTGTTTTCTCCATGCCCCTGCTTAGCATTTGAGTGTGCTGTGCGCTTGCTTGTGGCAGTAGGCCGGCTTGATTGGGTTTTGGTATGTCGCTTGATATCGATCGGGCTGATCCAGTCAGTGAGGTGGAGGTAGGCAGAGCTTGTGTATAGCCTTGATTGATGTCGAGCATAGGCGAGGCGAGAGCGAGGCAATTCCAGCCACTCTTTTTGGGTACGCCCTTGCGCGCTCAGATGCAGTGCAACAGCATGTACTCCGCCCGCCTGCACGTGGACAAAAACAACCACGGGCCGTCCCAGATCATCGGGCGGCTGGGCTGCAAGGAAAGGCAACACCCAGCGCAGAATGTTGGATAACCTCACAAAGTGAGCAATCTGACAGGCGGACAGGCTAGACAAATGCTGGGTCTGTCTTTGTTTTGGTCGAAAAGGAGTCGCCTTCTTCGGGTCACTGGACTTGGGTCTATGGGCCTTGTATAGGCCCCCAGATACCTGGCATCTAAGCTGAGTACAAAAGGTTGGTTCCTTTCAAAAAGCTTCTGCCCGTTTTCCAAAGCCTAAAGGCACCCTCCAACTTCAAGCCGAGCAGCGGACCTCAAATTCAACCCCAGTTCGACATGGCGCCGATCTCTCACGAGCTTCGCTGTTGCCAGGCTGGGACCCTACACGGGCGGAGAGCTGTGGGTGTACCAGGAGGCCCGGACCATGCCGGCTCGTGGCCTCACTTCCGCGTTTTGTCTCAGCAGGGACGGGCACTAGGAAAGGCCATCTTTCCACAACTCTTAGCCACGAGCAAGGCCATGACACCAAGTGCTCAACCAAAAAAAGGCTGGAAACGCTTCCCCCCCTGTTCCCAGCATGTGGGTCGCTAGCTGCTGTCGACACCGCCACGTGTTGAAGGATGCTTTTTACGCATGCCGACGCGCAGGAAGGGGGGAACATCCCCATGGTGGTGACGGAGCCGCTTCGGGGGTACCCGCACCTGACCGTCGGCAAGGCGAGCTGTTGGGCGTGGTTCAGCCATTTTGGCGGTCAGCCTGATGCTTTTCAAGGTTGAATCCACTTGCAGAGCGGTTTTTGGTTGGGATCTTTATTGCAGGATTCACCTTCAAAAGAAGTTATGTACTATTTGTTTGTTGCGCGCTTTGGGGGAGGTCTCTTTGAAACGGACCAACGAAACATGACATGTGTTGCTGATGGCAGCGTATCGCTCTTGAAGCGTAGCCCTCCTTTCGGATGGCGTCGGCTGAAAACCAAGAGGAATCCAGCAATCTTTAGAGCACCCCCATCTTCTTTGCAATTTGGTTGGGCCCCCGGACAGCTTTCACCACCAAGCCGAAAGCCGACAGCCATGTGGCAGGGCGTCGAGGTTGGGATTGTTTATCCACACGATTGGGATCGGGGGGGGGGTGAGCAACATTGGAACAAGCAGCCAGTGAGCCCTGACAGGATAGCAGAATGAGCATGCTCGAGCAATAAGTTTTAGAGAGGTTGGGTCAAAGAACAAAATGGATGAAACGATGATACCGCAAAGAAATGTTAAACCACGTTTGCAACGTGAGGGCCGCAGCGTGCAGCCTTTGGACTGTTTACGTTGGGAAGGCTAAGCTGAGTGCCTTTGCAGTATTTGGTGATGGCA